AAAAAAAAAAAAAAAGAAAAAAAGAAAAAAGAAAGGAAGAAATATATACGTTCACACATTTTCCTCTGTACTCTCGTAGATTTTTTTCTTCTCCTCAAAAGCACTTGGAGCATTTCTCGATTTCCTTCTCACGCATACGTGTCTCTCTCTCTCTCTCTCTCTCTCTCTCTATATATATATATATATATATATAAATATATATATATATATATATATTTATATATATTCATAATTCGTGTATATAAATATATAATCATATATGTGTATAAAGCATATGTATATATGTCTGTGTGTATATATATATACACACACATATATATACACTATATATATGCCAATATATATATATATCTTTTTCCTTGTCAACGAAATGGATCGATACGGAATAAATTAGGCGCTAAATAAATAGAACGGAACACTACGGTTGTTTTTTTTTTTTTGTTTTGTTTTGTTTCTCGTTTCAAGGAGATTCATCCATACTCGCTGCATTCTCATTCTTCTTTCTTTCCCTCTTATATCACTCGTGTCACCGTCGCAAAAGTTCCACCATATGTCCAGTCGGTAAAAAAAAAAAAAATCGACACGCGATGGTAAAAATCGTCAGTTCCCACTAGTTTCCCGCATCACCAGCGACGATTTTTTTTCCTTCGAGTCTCTGCCGATCTGTCGCAACGATCTTCGTCGTCAACGACTTGTCATGCCGATTTGCTTTACTCGAGATGAACTCGCTCGTTTTAACACGTTTTACCCTCTTTCTTCTTCTTCTTCTTCTTTTTGTTTTTTGCTTTCTCACTAAGAGTAAAGAGATTACTCGCGAGGAATAATAATAATAATAATAATAATGATTATCGATAATACAACAGAAATTGGGACCAGTTCGCACAAAAGGAGTGGGTTTCACCCTCTCAGTCAGTGTGTTCCTCTCGCTTTCCGTTCTTCGTTTTTCTCTCTTTATTTTCTTTTTTTTTTTTGTTTTCCATTCTCGCGCAGCTGAACAAGTGCCACAGCTGCCATAATGACGTATCGTGTGTGTCGTTTAATAATAGGGTCAGTACCTAAACCAGTCTGGCCACGCTATTCTAAATTACCAATATATTATATAATAATACAATGTAGTATATCAATATATTATATATAATATAATATATCAATATAATATATTATATTATACAGTATATATTTATATATGTATATATGTATTGTATATATACATATATATATAATATCAATTTAAATGAACATTCTTGATCAAGCTATTACCGGTTTATTTTTTCTTTCTCTCTGTCACTCTTGCAATCTTCCACTCGTTCTTCAAACACTCACTCTCTCCCTCTCTCTTTCCACATATATATATCAGTTCTCAAATTCGCCGTTACGTTTCTATTATCTCGTGCAATCGTTCCTTTTCTTTTTTTGCCTTTTACTTTATTTGTTATTAATATAAGTTTGTTCGTTTGTCAGCTGTTCAATAATCGTCGTTCACCCCTTCATTCCTCGGTTTCTTACTCACGCCATCCTGTCCTCGGTCTTCCCTCGGATAATTGATAATCCTTAATAATGCAAAAATACTAGTTAAATCCCTGTACATGAAAAATCTTGATGCAGTATACGTGTGGTGTTCTCCTGTTCCATTTCCTTTTTTTCTTCTTTCTCGTTCGTGTGTACGAATGCCGTATCGCGCTTTGTGTGTAGTTAAACGTGTACATATATGTCTGTCTGTGTGTGAGTGTGTGCAGGTTCCGACCACCCACTGGCTACTCGTTCTCGGTTCTTTTTTTTTTTTTTCTTTTCTCCTCTTGGTGGTTTTTTTTTTTTTTTTTTTTTTTTTTTTTACTTACAAGGTATTTGGTTTGCTCCATGCATCACTCTGACATGCAGTTTTTTTTTTTCTTGTTTAGATATATAAATTATGGTAATGATTCGGTATTATAATTATAATAATAATTATTATTAATATTAATATTATCAGTGTTCGGTGTGTGTACCGCTGTATTTTCCTCATAGTCGTCATCATTATTATAATATTATTATTATATTATTATTTTGTTTGTTTCTTTCTTTGCTGGTCACGGAATCAATTACTCGATTATCTCTCTCACGCCCGGTTTTATATACGTTCTCTCTCACGCCTCTCTCTCTCTCTCTCTCTCTCTCTCTCTCTCATTTTTGTATGTCTCTCGTTCGCTATGCACACCTCACTCACAGTATTCTTTTCTTTATTTTTTTTTTTTTTTTCTTCCCTTCCGACAAAAAGAGCAAAGAAGAAGATAAGAACACGCGTCTCAAATCGGAACGGTCGTTTCCTATCGTCCTTGGTAATTCTGTGGCCTTCAAAAAATGCCGGTACAAATGATGATAAAAAGGAATGATGTCTTGACTCTCTTGAATTGAAACGCTACACGCCGTTGTTGCTATCGCGCGACAAGCGGTGAGGAGGAAAAGGGCGTTCTTGTTCGAAAGGCAGTAAAACCGCGTGGGATCATCGCTTTGTTTCCATCTCGATGGAGAGAGAGAGAAAAAGAAAAAGAAAAAGGAAAAGAAAAAGAGAAATACTTCTAAAACTAAAAACTACCGACAGAAAAAAGTGGAGAAAGTCTCCTTCGCCGAGTCTCGATAGAAGATATCATCGCTATATTCTTGTTACATCAACACCGTATAAAAATCCACTGCCAACTCTACCGCAATCGTAACACGTTCGTTGGAAAGAATCGGTTAAGAGGATGGCAAAATCGAATGTAACGAAGAAACTGAACGTGCAAGTAAAGTGTAGAGAAAGAAAGAAAGAAAGGAAACGAAAAAGCGAAGAAGAAGGAAATCTTCGAAATCGTCGGCCCCGAGAGCTTTTTACCTCTTCTTTCTGCCTCCAATCGAGCCCCGGGGATGGACGTCTAAAAATCAGCAGGGTGCCTATACACACAACAGCTTCCACTTTCTCCGTTATATGCAGTAACACTATTTTACAACGAGGTTTCGAAATGCGTTTCTACAAATAATAAGAGCAGGAATGAGACGAGACAAGAGACCAGAGAAAGACGGAATATACTGGAGATACATAAGAAGAAAAAGTAGAAGAAGGACGAGAATATGAAGGAAAAAAGGAACCTTAGAAATTTAATGAATCTAGGATAAATAACTCACACTGTATGCAAGGATAAAAGAGCGAGAGAGATAGAGAGAGATAGTAAAGAAAAGATAATGAATGAAAAGGTGAAAAAGAGAGAGAGAGAGAGAGAAAGAGAGAGCAGGAGCGAAGGGAGAATCGTCAAAACGATCGTGATGGTGCGATGGTAGGCTACAGGTCTACTATCCGCGACCCTGATCGGAGACCCTGGCGGTTTTTTTTTTTCTTTTTTTTTTTTAGAAGCGCCTCGCCGCGATCAGCGTTAGATTGGCGGCTGACACGAGGGTGCTGATGTTGTTGCTTGTATTCGTGGCTTCCTGGCTGGCGGTTGGTCACTTCTTACTCTTCTTGTTAGGCGGCTGCTGTACGTCCTGCGAGTCTTCGGTGTCCTCGCTGTCTGTCGGTCGTGGCGTGTTGTTGCTGTCGTCGTTGTCGTTCGTGGCGAGCGAGTCATTCGTATCTTCGCTGGCGACGGCCGCTGTAATCGGCGTAGCGGGTTTATCCATCGAATCTTCGGTGAAGGACGTGGTTATGCTGTTCTCATCGATGGCCGCCGGATCAATACTGCCTGGTTCCTTACCGTTCAATGCCGCTTCCTGATTGCTGTCGTCCGACGGCTCTGTCGCCTCGCCGTTGCTGGGCGGATGAGAGTTCCCGTTCTCTGTCGAGCCTGGAATACCGTCCAGCAATTCTGGCTTCAATTCAGACGCCACGTAGTGGGTCCACAGAGCGAGTTCCACCCTATGGGGGCTCCATGTTTTGCCGTTCGACGCTGCAATGAAAAGAAGAAAAAAAAAAAACGACCACACTGTTAAACTGAATTGTGAAAAACTGTGAAAATGTCTGTTCATAGTAGCAGACAAAACGAGATACAGTTACTAGTACTGTTACTCTGTGTTTGTTTAAAAAAAAAAAAAAAAAAAAAAAGAAAACGAGATCTATTTCTCTAGCCGTGCTCCAAAAAAAAAAGAAAAAAGGTCATCATAAATATCCGTAGCCTGGTCGAGTTACTCGAATGCAAGTCGTTCCCGAGTAGAGGGATTTGTATCTGTGGTGAACTCGTCGGAGGTCAAAACGGTTTATATAATACACAGAGCTTATCGATTCCTCCCTCTGCTTGTGACTCGGCATTTAAATAACAGGAATCCGCGCTAAGATAAGTGGACTTAACAAATGAGCGCGACTAGCGATAAATTCTGATAGCTAATTCGAAGGATGGCGAGGAAAAAAACCCATTTCCATCTTCGATCCATTTTCTCTCCTCCACCTCCTCCTCTGCCCGCCTCCTCCTTTCTTCCCTTCCCAAATTCGCGAGCCGCAAACGTGTCTAACACTCACTTTGTTTGTTCAGCCTCTCGACGGTGTTTTGAATGTGCTGAACAAAGTTGAGGTACTCCTTGGTGGTGTAATCGATGCCCTCGATTTCCGGTATTGCCATCAGACATTCGTCCGCCATGAAGGGCGCGTTCTCCGGTGATGCTGCTGCGAGTAGGGCCGAGGCCATCGTGGTACCGACTCCTTTCAAATTCGAGAGGGCAGTGATCGCCTGTTCTAGGTTTGGAAGCTTTTTGAACGCTTTCTTCGTCTCCGCCATCACCGCGCGAGGCGTGTTCACTTTCACTAAGTAGGACAACTGAGGATAGAACTTCCCACGCTGTAAATAAAACAAACACAAGATCCAACGTTTAAACAAGAGCTTCGATTCTTCGAGCTTTGTCAAGGGATCAACGACTTGTTGGGGGAAAAAGTCACTTCGTACTTCGACGTTTCCAACACGTTCGTCGTTATTAATCCGAAATAATTTTCAAGCGAAAATTACGTCCGAAATTTGCCACCAAGGTAAAGCAAGAGTATCAAAGCATCGCCGCGGGAATCGCTACACGCAACATGCGCGCCACCGTTTAAATAAACTTTGAAACTTCGCGATCGACTCTGAGAAGTTGCCGCGAGCCTGACATACACTTTAACGACGAGTAATCGTGAACTTGATACGCGCGCCGTTGTATCTTTCGCGAATTACAAGTTGATTTACAATTGAAAGAACCTGATTGCGAGCTTAACACGCGGTTTCCATCTGAATTATTCGAGAAGCAATTCCTCTGGTTCCTATTGGTTCATTCCTGCAACAGTCGTCCGAATGATGCGTCCATTAGCGAACGCTCTCGTTGATCGACGATTTCGCGCGTTTGAAATTTTTACTTTTAACTTTAAATGAATTGCGCTTCAACTTTACGTTCGGCGCGTTTTTAATAACAAAACTGGCTTAGATATCGTAGAGCGGCGGAACGCGCCACAAAGCGCCTAAATAATTTTCGTTACTCCACGCAGAGTGTTCCAAGACTTTAAAAAAAGAAAAAAAGAGAGGAACGAAGGGTTATTTTCCATTTTTAACCTCTTGCGCCACGCAAGTCGACAATTTTCCAAAATTGTAATACTTCCTCAGTTTTAAGTACATTTAAGTAGAACAAAATAGCAAAACAGACATTTAAGTGAAGCGAATAATAAATTTATCACTTCTCAATCATTTCTGTCCAGCGACGAATTTAAAAAAGAAAGCGGACGAACTATTTTATACGGTTTTGGTCACTCGTTATGGTCCGCAATCGGTTGCCGGCGCAAGTGGTTAAAATTCATCCTGTAAATCGACGAAAATTGAATGGAGCCAACAACAGAAAAAAATTTTTAAAAGAAAAAAAAAAAAAAAAAAAAAGAAAAAAGAAGAAGAAGAAGAAGAAGAGTATTAACAGCGAGAAATCATCGACTCACTATTTGTTTCCATTTCATCGTTTGCACGAGTTCCTCGTGATTGAGATGCGCGTCCTTGCCGCGTGACTTGATCTTCTTTGGAAGCTCATTTTGATACCTGCGAACAGAAAACGTCACCGGGATGGTCAGTAGCCGTAAATGTCACGAAAGATCATGGTTATATAGACGGGATCAACGATTACGTAACCAGCGGGAGAGCCGGGAGAGAAAAGGAAAGAAGAAAAAAAAAAAACGTATAGAAATCGCTGGGAATACTGATTAAAAATGCAGCCGCAAGAAGAAGCGGTTTTCCATCTACCGACGCGATCACGTGGCCTGGCAGACATCGTCGATGGAACACGAGCCAAATCGAGGACACGTACGCCAGATTGGATTTTCCGATATCCTGTCGAAATCTCCTCCTTCCCACTTCCGTTTCTATATTTTCCCCTAAAATAAATCTCCCCGACCGATCTCCTTTCACTCTTCGACCCACTAACTGACAATCTTTCTTTCTTTTATTTTATTAACACGTAACTCAACTCTTTGATTTTCATTTCGAGTCGCGCCAATTTAATCTGAGTTCACCCTGCGTTCACGTTCAAATTGATCAATCAGGGAAAGCAATTACAATTCATCCTAGTCACCACATCGTTACAAATGTTTTCAACTATAGTTTTCATTTTTCATTTTTTTATTTTTTTTTATTTCTTGCTTCTCCCAAGAATCTGATTTCATTTAGCAGTGTTCCCCCTTTGTTCCCAGCGAGCTCTCTTCCTTCAGCCGCCATTAATTCAGGTCATCGACACAAGTCGAGAGACAAGTTCTCTCTGTTCTTCGGAGGCTGCATCCGTGAACACGGCCACGGCGACGGCGACGAGAGGGACAGAGACGGGATACAGAGAGCACCGCCACCGCCACTCTCTCCCGCGTGGTTTTATTGTAGGTACTTTCGGAGGTCGGCCGAGATCAGCTGTTTGCCTGAACGGCTAAACTTAGTTACGGATAGTTTGTATTTCATTCATATAATGCGACACTTGTGACGCGCGTGTTTCCTTGAATTACCCGGCGGCTTACTAGGCGGCTCGCTTTCCGAAAGAGAGCGTGTGAAGTCCCGCGTGTAGTTACAATTAACCTCTTGCTGCCTCGAATGACAGGACAAAATTGCAATATTTTTTTTTCAGTTTCAAGTATATCGGTATATTGTTAAGTATATCTCGGTTTCAAGTATAACCCAGGACAAAACAAATAGCAACATACCGACGAGTTGAAAAAGAAAGCGACGAATCATTCTTGTACGGTTCGGTCGCTCGTTATGGTCCGCAATCCAGTTGCCAGCGCAAGTGGTTAAATGCACGTTGGATTCGAGGGACTCGCTGCTAAATTTCTTTTCGTTTTCGTCTATGTAGCAGTGAGAGTTTCGAACGCTTGCGGAACTTGTAAAATAGTGTTTGAAATCTGTGTTGGACAACGATCCAATGACGAGTAAAAATTTCAACGTTACAAGAAGGATGTTACTGTTACTGTTAAGTTGAGCGACGGAACAATGGTTTGAAGATTAGACATTTTTGGTTTTGTGGTCGAAGTGCACTTGGGAGTGACGATAATGAACCGTATATTATCGCAAAAGCAGGAAGAGGAAACTATGAACTGGATTTGGATTGTCTCTATAATTCTTTCCCCCCTCGTTTTCGCAGACGAAGCAAAAAACAATAAATGTTGCGCTCAGTGATGCCAACGACAATTCATCCGAGTGCACGAGAATGAAAATTTCGAGAAACCTCGACGAGGATTTGACTCGTTGAAAGAGACGGAGAGAGAGTGGCGTGTTTTCCTTAACAAATACTTTACGTATCGATCAAACGATAAAAACAAAAGGTTTCCATAATTTCCTCGGAGGAATGGTAACGAGATACTGGTAACTGGTTCTCCTCCGCTGGCTTCGACGCCGGAAGAGTATTACAGACAAAGAAGCCCCAAAAACGAGTCCCAGTCACTTGATTCTCTCTCGTCGACGAGATTCGTTACAAGTACTCGGTTAATTGACTCCAACCGGTATCAAACCGATAGTGTGACATAACTAACTACGAAACTGTGTAGCGAAACGAGTCACGATCGCGATTATTGTCCAGGAGTGTTGAAGGGAAATCGAAAAAAGAAAAAAAAAGAAACAATCGGCCAAGTGCCGTAACGCGAGCGTTTCTTTGGCGGTGGACGATTCTTTCGTGGCATACAGCTCGAAACCTTTTCAGGACGTCGGTTCTCGCGCAACCATTTTGAGAGGCTCTCGGCGCGCCACGCAACTGCTTCCCCCCGCTGAAACAACCTTGACACAATCGCCGCGCGCTTTAAAACGCGCCGAGGAGGAGGATTGTGCCTCGCGAGAAGGCACTCTACAAAGCCTTATTTCACCAGCTCCGCTTTTACGACGATCCTTCGCCTCACTTTTATTCCCTTTCCCCTGTCCGCGAGAATATTTCGCGAATTCCAAACGGGGAACCAGTCGGGATAGGACGCCCCCGCTTGTTTTTTTTTTTTTTACTCTCGCCAACACAGCTCACCACGGCGCACCAATCGTTTCATCGTGCAGAACACGCCAGAGAAAGGTCGAGAGGTTCACTTGATTTCATTCCGTAGGTGCCTTCGTTTGTCCAACACCTAAAAATCGTAGAAATATTTCAAGTGTATGTACGTGTTTGCGCGAAGTTTCACGACAAGAAGCGAGAAAGGTAGGTTTGAGAACCGTTGGCACAACCTGAACTTCACGCGGCGAAACCCGCGTTGGTCCGAAACTGTTGAAACTCCGGGTTTGTTTCCCACAGTTCGGTTCGCGGACTGACGAAATCCTGACGTCGCAAGGACGACGAGAAACGGGCATTTTTAGCAGAGAGAAAAAAAAAAAAAAAAAAGAAAGAAAGAAAGAAAGAAAAAAAAAACTGGTGGAAGGAACCGAGCAACGATGACCGCATTGGGCTTGCTTGCAACTCGATGCTCGATCGTTAACCGTTTGACCCCAATGTTTTCATCGCTTTAACGAACTCGTGTGAATCAGCGAAAATGCTTCTACGAACCGAATTTGTCATCGAGCATCGTCCAATGGAAAAGCCAACGACGATGACTATAGGGAAATACATATAGATGAATAGACGATCATTTTACACGTGTTTTCCTCATTCTCCTTGCTCCTTCACGCTTGAATATCATCTGCCCTGGTTGCCCTCGGGTTTCTTCAAACTGCAAACCGGAAAAGCGTAATTTGACCGAGGCAAAAACTTGCGGCCTCTCTCTCTCTCTCTCTCTCTCTCTCTCTCTCTCTCTCTCTCTCAGCCTTGCAAACTTGCCGCTGTGTGTTCTCTCTCCTGTCCCTTCTTCGAGAAAGAATTCTAATTACCAGAGGTGCAAAGGTCAACGTACTTGTATAGTGATTATTTCCCTTGCTTTTACAAGCAGAATGTGCAATTTAATCTCTCTAAGTAGAATTTTTCATTCAGATAGACAGATTTCTGATAGATGCGTCTTTCTTTGGTAATTTTGATGCAACGTTGGGTTGAACAAAGGGCTAGAAGCTATTTTTCTCTGTTAATCACTTCACAGAGAACAATCTTCATCACGGTTTTCTTTATCAGAAGATAATCACGTAATACCATTGTACAAGACATGTATTGTTGTACATGTTGTATTACGTTTATATTAAATCAACTAAATGTATCCTAAATAAAATTTCATGGGTAAATACCAATGAACGCTTAGCAGGTGTTTTAACTTTCAAAAGCATTTCAAGACGAAGTGCCAAAATGAACAAGCACGTGGTGGCATTTGTTTACACCTTCTTTGCCTTTGGCACTCGCATCATTTACATATTATTGATCGTATGCCATCCGAAACTAGAGTATTTCTCTTTAACTTTTCAGTTTATAGGCAACCATAAATCAAAGTCAGATTTAGATTTCAGTTTACTCTGTGTTTACGACGAACGCTATTAATAATTCTTGCTACCTAAAATACAGACTACACAAAGAGACTCATGTTCGACGTTAATGGTCACTTGTAGCTCTTACTTAACTCCAATTCAACCAGCTGTAATTATCTATGACTCGACAAAAAGTAAAATATATATCAAGCTCGAGATATATTTTCCTAAATTTCCACTTTGCTCTAATGGCTAATTACTCCAACGTACTGAATATTCTCAAAGAACTCTTACACCATCTTTATCCAAATGTAAAAGAGGAAAATTGAAACAGCTCGAGAGACGTGGCTAGTTATTGAACGAGTGACACAGGCGAATTGTGTCCACAATCCTTGTAAGTTTGTCTTTTTAAGAAGCTACTTGCTACTCTCGGCTGGTACAAAAGAAAAAGAGTATCAATGAGAAGGGAAAGTCGACTTTGACGATGTTGCACAACGGTATTAGAAAAATAAACCATGCAAAGAGAAAATCGCTGGGACACGTAGGAGGAAATGTTTGAAGAAATTTGTGGACCAAGTCGTTATTGAGTCTTAATCAATTCTAAAATTATTAGGACATTAGATCACCGACCAATTACCACTACTGAACGAGCAAAGTGTTCCAAATTTTTGGCACACATAAACTATACGAGATATATCCCAAAAAATTGAGAATTAAAATTGCTAAACTCCAAATTACTTAAGACAAGTACTGCAGTAGATCAAACTCTATTCACGGTGACTCGATCATTGGAGAAAGTTGAAAATAGCTTGATGCAAACTTGATGGCGTTGGAAGCTTCCAGTTGAAAGATTAAAACGTGCAGAAGGTGGAATGTCAAAATTGAAATAAAATAATTCAACACCTCGATGGCACAGTTGTTACAGCGGTTCGCGAGAATATCCAAACACTTTCAAAAAAAAAAAAGAAAAAAATATCTCAGGCTCCTGGAGCAATTTCCACCGACGCACAATTCGTTATCTATGTCTAAGCCGCTGAACATGATTCAGGCAAGTCAGGCACGTCGCGTAACGATGACAAGGCGTCGGTAGACGCCGTAGAAAAGTAGCCTTGACGTAAACAAGCTTTGCCAGCGATGGAAACAACGGTACCGCTCCCCTCCATCATTCAGCCGGAAGAAGAGGCTGCGAACCAACAACCAACTGGTCTTTTCCAACAGTTCCAAATCGACCGCGTAACTGCAACTTTCACAGCAATAGTAATAATTATCATTATCGCGAATGGTTCAGTAAAATGAATCATTAATCTTAGTAAAACCTGGTATTAGTAAACTTTCAGTAAAACCTTGTTAACAGACGCGAAGGCGCCGTGTCTCCTTCCTCCTCTCTCATCGTGCCAGATGTTCCCTGCACGCGTGTCCATTTTGGACAAAGACGAAATCTCATCGTCTCCCCAGAGACAAAGCCACACGTACCATAAATACGGTTCCGAATTGGGGCATAGGAACAGTTGACAGTGGTCGTGAACAAGCTGGAAAGAACACGTTTGTTGCAAGAGTCTATTGGAAGAGTTGAGGGAATTATTCAGTTTCAGTAAGACACTGATATTTATTCGCTTAACCAGCAAATCCTGTCAATTCGTGCGGCATAGACTTTCGCTGAAATTTGTTATCAATGAGGTTCTTGTTTCAGCTGTTCTAGACATGGAGAAAAAACCACGTGGCCAGTATTTCTGTCGCCGATAATCACAAGTTTGTCGTTTTCGTTGACACCACAGAGACACAATTTCTGAATCGCAACTGACCCGTTGAGGGGCATTTGTAACGTTTGTTACATTGTCAGATGTTTGGGACATTTGAAATACTGAACACTCTTTGACACACTACAAAGAGGAAAATCGCGGCTTATTCAGCAATAGTAAATGCTGAAAAGAAACAACAGGCTGATATCTAGCGTCTCTCCGGGATTAATAATTAAAAAACTTATCGTAATCCCGTTAAAAACCTTTGACACAGATATGTTCTCCGAGCCCAGGACCAGTAGTACAGGGCCTGCGAGAAAGAAAGAAAGAAAGAAAGAAAGAAAAAAAAAGAAGAAAGGACGAGAAGGAAGACGAAGCGAACGATTGGTCAAAGGGAAGGTGGTACCGGCGGGCGCTGTGCAGAATTAACAAAAAACAAAGAGGAGCAGCGGCAGCAGCACAGAAGAGACGGGGGCGGCTCATCGAGCGAAGAATGAATAATTAAACGGCGGAACGCGAACGATCGGTGGATGGCAAAGATTCCATTATTATTGCCCGATTCCCCGGGCCGGTCGCGGGGAGTGAAAACTAAAAAGGACGTAACGTGGAATTTAACGAGTCTCGGAACCTGCCTTCAATTAATTAAGCCAGACGTGACGCCAGCGGAATTGAAGCTCGCGTCGGCCAGAAAACCTCGCGCGCTCGACGGACGACACGCTTCTCGTCAACCGGGGAGAGAGAACTCCCGGTTCTCCCGGTTCTCGCGCCGAACTTCACTCGAGTTTAGTACACGTAGTACAACGAGCAGCTACACGTTCTGCAGTTTTGCCGGAGGACCGGACAAATCGGATTCCCTCCTCCGCTGATAAATCCCCCCTCCCCCCCCAGGTTTTTATCGTCTCTGCGCTCCAAATTCTCGTCGGGCGTTGGGCTCTTGATAAACGAGCTTTATCCAACACGCCCTGCGTCTTTGCTAATTCGCGTAACGAGAGAGAATTGATTCTTAACCTCATGCGCCACGCACGTCGAGATTCTTTGGCCCAAAATTGCAATATTTTTCGCAGTTTTAAGTATACTGGAATATAACCCAGGCAAAATAGATAATAAATTTACTTATTACTTCTTAGTCGTTTCTTAGCCATCCAGTGACGTAACGATGAATTCAAAAAGAAGACGAATTATATTGGATACGGTTTGGTCACTCGTTATGGTCCGTGAACCAGTTGCTGCTGTTAATGTTGTTTTAGAACGAGGTGTATAATAAAAAAATGACAGGATTTTTAATTTTATGAAACTAAAGTTAATTTAATCGGGGGCACGTATGCTATTGTTTATTATTGAAAAGTATGAATGTTTTATCAATACCGAGGTAACGCTAACGCGCGATTAAGTATCTAATTGGTACAAGTACGGTTTAGTTAGCGGTTAATGACACACGTGTTTAAGTTGAATAACCTATTCTAAACGTAACTGAGATACTTAAATTAAATAAGCAGCCACGCTTGCTTGATTTAATTTAATACTCGATACTTTCAGGAAAACTACGTTAACGAAAATGCTGAATAAAAGAATTATTTGAAGGAAGTTTTGTTGAAATTCTTTGAAATATGGCGAAGATTAACAAAATTAACGCTGTCTTTATTTCGTAATTACACAGCTCGTTTGTTTCTGTACGTGATAAATAAATTTATCGACTTACGAGCGAGTAAATTCGCCACAAACTTCCCAGAATGAATATAAATTTCCTACGTCCGTCGGTTTAAGAGAAATTTTTTTTTTTAATTCTATCGTATCGGTTTTCCATCGAATTTTGCAACTCTAACCTAAAAATATTCTTTTTTTTTTCAAATTAAATTACGCAAGATTGAACGTAATAACAAATTAAAGTACATTTACACATTGTGCAACTAGCTTTCAGATCTCTGTGCGTGTATTAAAACAGAGCCGGACAACATTGACATAACATTTCTCAATGCAATGCCATAGGCAACCTCCACCAGAATTTACCAGAATTCTCTGTTATACTCGATAATAGAGGACCTTTTTTTTTTTTTCAAAATAATATTTTTATCTATCAAATACATCCAACGATAAAGATCCACGTTGATACACGATCACTAATTAATTATCATTTTGTGTTCGATGCTACATAACCTTAAAAAAGAATCATACCACAAAAACTTAAATGAGTGTCAATTGTCAACGATAAATACTTTTGAGTATTAGATTTGACTCGTCGACTTAAAAGTAGAAATATATACATATTTTAAGCCAATTTGTAAGCGCAATCATAATCTTGCAGTGGCATGCAATAGAATTTTACATAGAATGGGCCAAAAATCACTTCCTACTAAAGTAAATCTGTAATACTTTTATTATATATTTCTTTAAATTTTCTTTTTTACAGATTAAAATACACGAATTTAATTTAATTCATGTTTGAACTTAAATTTAATTTAAAATTAACAAAATTAGCCTTCTCTTATATTTTGAGATTAAAAACAATAGGTGGGAAGAAACCTTTTGGCCCACCCTATACATAAATAAATAAATAAATAGCGATTTCTTTCATATTTAGTCCCTAAAAATACTGACACTGTTTATATAACTTGAGAGAAGAAAATATAAATTGAAAAGTTCAAGTCAGATACATCAAAAGATTTCAACGTGGCTTCAGTCTTTCCAAGAGGATGTTCACTAGACAGGACAAAAGAAATAGGAACATGATTTTCGCGGGAAGAGCATAGATTGGCAATGTTGTACTTGATTTAAACACTTTATATAATTTTAAATTCGACAACGGACAGATAAGTGGGAAAGACAATTTCGAGAAGGTTCCACGGCGGCGGTTGAACAACTGATTGTTTTGTACCTTGTACAACTCTTGGAAGATCAAAAGAGCATGGCAAAACACAGACTTTAACTGTATTTAATAATCTGAAAGAACAAGTCAGGGATATCTCGAATCAGTATCCGATATTCGGACGTTTGAACGTATTTCAATGGGGATCCTGAAAATTTTTTTTGCACAGTTCAGGGACAGAGCTGGTCCGCAGCGCTAATTACAAAGTTGCCGTACACCGCTTTGTAATATCCCAAAGCGTTAATCACTCGATCCTCGAATAGAAACACGGATGAATCGAAACTGTTGAAAACAAAAGAGAGAGAGGGGAAGGAAAAAAAAATGAAAAGAATTGCGAAAACAAGAGTGGAGAAAGGTTCGTTAATCGTGTCCGAACGAGTCAAGGTAGTTGTGTGACGCCGTGAAAGCGACGCCGGCGAGTCGCCTCTTTCACTGGCATCGTTGCCAGCGCGACGCTCGCTCGCGAGGATCCATATAATATTCGTGAAAATGACACGAGACCCGTCGTCAAAACGAATCGGAAAATGTATTTGGAAATTTCGTGCGAGAGAGTGAGATTTCTTTCGAGAAAAATTTTGCAACACATTATCGCGCGGACAGCACCGAGCGATAGGATGGGTAACGAACGGCAACGTCGAGACTTCCTCAATGAGACGGCACAAAAAATTCCCACGAAAATTCCGTGCGGCAAAAAAAAATCGATATTAAATACCTGGCCCGTTGCTAAAACCGATAAAAAAATATCATACGTCTGTAGAGATGAGAGTATACCGTCGTGAATAAAGAACAAAGAGCGAGGGAAGAAAAGCGAGTTAATTAAATCACCACGTGACAACACAGGAGTACGTGTCCTTTCTGCGGACACACGTTTGAAAGGGATCTATCTGGTTAGTGACTCCGCGAGGTGTTTCGAAGCGGCCGCCGCGCTCTTGCCGATTCGTCGTCGATCACGGGAATAGAAGAGAGTAAATATGCTATAGCGGGATTGTAGCTAAGTCGAAACGAGGGGGCCATACGGGTAGCACCGCACACAGCATGCGGTATGTGGTGGCAACTGGCGCGCCACGGGTTCATTGTCCCGTGTGTGCCCGTGGTGGAAGCCCCTCGTTGAAAAGGAGGGCCCGTGGTGTGTGTATCGGGCGTAATACCGTCCCGGACGAAATATCCAGACGTTCTAACGAACTTACCAGTTGTCCAACTTGATCAGCTCCTCGGGCTTTTTCGTCTTCCGATCGGCCTTGAGTCTGAGGGCCTGCGGATAAAGCTTCAGTACGTGCTCGAACTGACTCGCTGTGCCCTCCGCAAAGAAAGTTGCTGTGTCTTTCACGGAAGCCATTGTGATAACTGAGTTTCGACGAACGGCCGTTGGGGCGCAGCACAAGCGCCTCCGTGCACTATACACACGTCTTCGTCGCTCCCCCTCAACACTCTCTCTCTGTCCCACTCCTTCTCCCTCTCCTTCCTCTTCTATCCTCGTCGGGCAGTGTCTTGCTTTCTTTCCTTCTCCCTCTCTCTCTCTCGCTTCCTCCTCGTGCACCCCTCCTCCCTCGCCGCGCCAACCACACGGGAGAGGACCGACCACGCGAGAAATCCTATTTTACCCTCTGACTCGTTCGAATTCTCTCGGTTTCACCGGCGGCGGTGATACGCGACACACGCGTGGGACGCGTTCACGATCGGGCGCGTACACGTTACCGGAGGCTCTCTGCTCCGCTCCGCGAAAGACAGAGAGAGAGAGAGACGACAGTTATCGACGATGGCACGCGTGTAAAAGCAGACTTCGATGCCAGTGTGTGTGTGTGTGTGTATGTGTGTCTTTCTCTCCTTCACTCGGTTCCCGTATCTCTATCTCTCTCTTTCTCGCTCCCTGTTTCTTTCTCTTTCTAGCTGTTTTTCGATTTCCACCGAAAGATACTTCCTCGCTGGTTGTGCTCTCACGCACCAGGATTGATAGCAAGTTCCAGGCTCGACGCTATTGATCACTTGGTTGTTTACCCGTACCGTACCGAGAGGAAAACGTGTTTACGCGGAACGCGTGATGCGGCGCAGAGAGCTTTGTACGAGGTCTCGTTTACGTACACTCTCGTAAGGGAAAATCACCGTAGTTACACGCCGAGAACTCGCCTTCGGACCTCGTTCGACTGTCCCGGGTGGGGAGTCGCGACTCGACGTCGCCAATAGGGAGCAGCACTGCTCGGCGTGTTTCTCACTTCTCTCTCTTCCCCTTGGGCCCTTGCTCTACCTCTCTCTCTCTTGCCGTCACGTCCTTCCACCTCTTCTCCGCCACCCTTATTATTTGTACCGAAAATTTCAACCGTTGCGTGTGCGGGCAAGCACGCACGAGGATCGACGATACGCGGGGACCGATTGACGATGAATAATAAAATTTGACTTTTGGGTCTGTACGGAGAGAAAGAGAGATGTACGTATGCCTCTCGGCTCAGTCTCTGGATCAGACAAAAAGGAGAACGTACGAGAGATACGCGGGCAATCGGAACGCAGAACCTCCTTTCTCCTCTCTCAAGTCTGTCTCTCTCTCTCTCTCTTTATCTATCGAGTACCCGTGTTTCCCTCGGCGCCAGCAGATCCTTCCTTCTTTCTTTTTTTTTCCCTCGCTCTCTCAGAGAGGTTCGTACGAATGCATGCGGTTTCCCCGCCGGATGTCCGTGAAGTATATAGAGTCTCTACCCCCACTTCTCTCTCTCAGTAGTCCTCGTACACGCACGTATTCACCGATCTACCGAAGGAACAACTCTCGGGATACCACACGACGGTTCTCCAATCGTCCGTCGCGCCGATGATACACCATACACGCGCGTTCCGCAAGGGTACGTACCAACCCCCCTTTGTCTCTCGCTCTATTTACTCACGATAAGTCTTTGATCCTCCCTTGTTCGTCAGGATTGGTTGACGCACCGATCGTTTCCATGTAACTGTTCGCGTCGTGCCTTCGTGTCGTGCAGGAAAAGTTCGCGCTGAAGCGTCGACGACGAGGGCCCCCGTTGATGGTCTCATCGACGACAACGGTGTGACGGTTGGTAACCAGAGGAGACACAATCAAGGATTCACCACCGATCTCGACCAACCACCAGTGTGATCTTTTCTTTTTCCCCCCGCGAGAAACGGCCTCGGTTTTTAGCTCTATCGCACGTCCGCCTCCGTACGAATCACCACGTTCGATGGCTGTGTACGCGCGCCTGTCTCTCTGCACGACTCCTCGACACTCTGTGTCTGTCCTTCTCTCTCTACCGGCCTCTCTATCTGTCTCAGCTTGGATGAGCGCGTGTGAGTGCGCGCGCGCATACGCACACCGACACGACGACACGGCTACAAGACCAAATGAGCGCGAGCGAGCGAGCGAGCGAGCAAAAGAGCGGGCAGAACGAAGCTCGAAGCCTTCATTCGAAAAACGGGAACACACGGAGCCGTAGTGCGCGCTTAGGCAAAGACCACGTATAGCCAATCGCTTGGTCTACTCTTGTATATGCTGGCTGTAGTGAAGCGGCTGACCGACTGAGGGCAGCGCCTTCGCTACCTTCTGCTCGTCCCCTTTACCTCTTGCCTCTCTCAGGACTTTACACCACCACTAAACCGTCCGACTCCCCTCTACGTAGATCTGCTCCCACTCGCTCCCAGTTGCGCTCTCTCTCTCTTTCTCTCTCCTCTTTATCCATCCACCTATATCTATGTATCTATCTATCTATCTATCTATCTATCTTTCTTCTTTGATCTATCTCTTCTAATACGCAAAGTAAAGGAACAGTATCGATGGACTGCGTTTTATCATACGCGACGCTTCATGCAGAAATTCGTCGATCGTTTCGACGATAAACTATATTATTTCTCGCGCGACCCCTCTTCGTGGACTCCCACGAGCGGCGGACGCGCTCGATACCTCCTCGTGAAGGCGCGTACCGTTCGCTCGATCGCGCTGGGTCGTCCGACTGGAAATCGATGCTAAAGCCGGGGTAGAGGCGCGCCAGTGGTGCCGTAGCACGGCTGGCACACCGCGTGCTCCAACACAAACCTTACAACGCGCGTGTGTACACATCGTCGTACACAGCTCTATACCGAGCGAGATTAAACTGTGTGGGTAGACGGGGTTTCATATAGAACAGAGTTTGTGTGCAACGCGTCACGGTCTACGAATATATACACGCGCGCCAGAAGTGGCTCGAACACGTACAAAAGGGCACATACGGGGAAAGGAGGCTCTCGCAACCCTTGTGGGATGCGAACATTTTCAAAAAGTCTCCGGTTGTGCGCTTTGAACACTCCCGAATGCTCGACGATTGGACAGTCGCAAGGCGTAGAGGGGGTAAACGTGTTTTTGTTTTTTTTTCCATGCCTGTAGCGGAATATCACGAGACAGATGCCGGGAGCCGTTGCGAAACGAACGATTTCACAATTTTGTAAACACGACGACATGCGCGCTGTACTTCCGTGCTTACGAGCTTAATGACGTTCGTTCCGCGAATCGGCGAGTTGAAACTCAATTAAGGAGACACGCCGTGTGGAATTGCAGTTTTTCCCCTCTTTTTTTTTTTTTTCCTTTTTATATATGTATATAAACTTTCTAAAATAGTTTTCGTACTTTACTTCGCCCGTATGAAACTCGAATATTTTGATAACTAAAGTCGTACGTAAAAATTTATATCGAGTTTCAATTACTCTCTCCTTTTCCGTCTTTTTCCTCTTTTTTCCCCCGCAGACCGTTAGTTTTTTACATTGCCCTCTTCGCTTCTTTTTTGCCAATGTCCCTGATCGTTGTCAGCAAAATTGCAAACAACAGGAAAACTTATGGATATCTCGTCGAAACTTTTCCTGTGCACGTACATATGTATTTTCCGCGTAAGGGTTTGTCTCTGCTACGTGTAGGTACACGTAAAAGAAAGAACGTTCTTTGTAACCTAGCATATCCCTACGCTATCGTATAGTGCCACATGCTTCGCCGCGCGATAGTATGCCGCTGTATAATCATTCGGTGAGCTGGTGTTGGTCGACGATACTGGTGTGTTCGTCGTGAGATCTCGCTTCGCCGGCAGTCCATGAGTACCATAGCGAACGGCTCACTACCAATGTCAGCAGCACTACCACTGACGCGTCGTATAGTTGCTACAAGTTGGTTGAGTGTGCTCGTGGAAAGTGCCGAGCGAGCGCTTGCGCTTCGGTAACTTTCCATTGTCGTTGCTTCTGCACGGCAAGAACGAAGAAACTTACTGAGAATCTTTCGGGACTTTGCAATCGCAGACTGCTGTTCTAATCTCGGCGCACCTGAAAACAATAAAATTAATTAATTTTTTATGTCTCACACGATACCCATTTTTATTTTGTAAAATCTTCAAACAAGAAATTTATCATGATACTTGAGATTGAGATCTGTTTTTTTGTTGAACTACGTTCAAAAATCATGCGCACGTAATTTATATTTCGTTCAAAGGAATAAAAATTAGTTGACAAAGCTTTGGATATTCTTCTAGATGGATTTTCGTTTTTACTGTATACTACAAAGGTTACAGGAATTGGTAATTTCCAGTGTTAGAATTTTGAAATCTAGAGAGAATAGTACAGATAGTCAAATATTGAACGCCTCCCTTGAACGGGTAGTATGAAAGTTTGATTCATCGTCAATTAACAGTTCAAACGTCTATACGAACGACTCGCGTAAAATGTCACTTCAAAATTCAAGTCTAAAGATAAACTCCGATGACAGAAATAAACTGAACTTTTAAACTTAAAAGAACTGTATTGAAGATATTAATGTCGTTCGCCCAAGAAAGCGTTTGAGTTATTACCTGAATTAAAGACCGAGTTAAAGCACGATCGTTTCACGAACTCGTCGTGCACGCGAATTTGCTGTTTACGTAATTTCAAACGGGGAGAGGAAAATCTGATAATTAATACGCGGGGGAATATTTGGGTGGTGAGAAACGAGCGCTTACTGGGACTGAACCCCGTAGGCCTGAAGCGAATTGCCAGCAATGTTATGGGGAACGAGAGGGGGGAGGGGACAGACGAAGAGGAGGAAGAGACGAAGAGAAAGGCTGGTTTTCTTCTGAAGCGCGTTTCAGCAGGGAACAGAACCGTGCAGCCGGCCATAAACCCCGCATCATGGCCGTCGACTCACCGTTATGTGCCGAGCATCGGTGAAGCCCTCGTGCCCCCTATACAAAAGAGAGAGGCCTGACCCCCTCTGTCCCTCGGGCGCTTGAAATTCAACCCCGGCACTGCCGGCCGCTCCAGGGTTGCCAGATCGTATTGCCACGGACAGGCGAGGTTGCAGCGCTCCGTTATCGATGCTCACTGCACACCCGGACAATCACCTAACCTCAAATTCAGCTGTAGAACCAGCGTGGCTCGGTTTCTGTTATCAGTAGCCAGTTGTCGAGCCTCTCGGAACAACCCTGCCAAAATCGAATGAGTAATTTTTAAATGTGTATCCTGTCATGCACTGCCTAACTATGCATTCCTTCTCCTACATTTTCTCTTGATATTGTTTCTCAACTTCTGTTACGCTCTTTGAATCTTTATTTTTCAGTTACTGATGAATGAAACGTCAAGAGAAATTTAAGAGATTGAAATAAGAACAGTAATGATCTTTTGTTCTCATGAAATGCAAAGAGCGTAGTGGATTTTAATGAACATGTTGATACAGGGAAAATGTAAAACAAATTAGTAAACGAGCTTAGCCAACGTATTGAAAGCTACACCATTGTTAGCAAAATCCGTCACAGGGAACATACGCCCCATAGATTCTACGCCTTTCTGTTCGGTATTTTCAACTTGTAACCCGCCAATTACTTGTCACCAGCAACAGGTCACACTCTCTTTCCGTGTCTCTACGGTTTACTCGGAAGTCAGTGTACGCCAGATAGAATTAGTAATATCATCACGCGTGTATATGCGTTTTCTTCCAACCGGCTAAAATAATGTTCTTTCTCTTCCAAATTATCATCATTTTACGCGTCGCAAATGTATCTTAGGAGTTTAGCGTTTAATTTAAAACAAATTCAACTTTCATAATAAATATTCTGCTCTTAGATTCAAAATGCAAGAATGCATGAGTGTAACTGAAAATAAAAAAGAGGTATTCCGCAAGATATCGAGAGCCAAACATTTCCAGAAACGGTTTTTGATCGACGATTGCTGCGAAATTGCGACGAACGGAAGAGAACAATGGGCGAGAATGATTGAAAGGTGTAGACGCGAGTGCGTAGGAACGTATCGCAACTCGAAGAACACGGCTCGCATGTGGAGTAACTGTCGGCTGCGTTCGATACGTACACGTGTTCTCGATGCGGCTGCTGTACAACATTGTCGCGAAGTGACATGTGGGCCACGGTGCGGCAGAATGTGTGTGCGGACGGAGCATAAGGCCAGGCAGCCGAGGGACGGATACGGAGAGCCCCGCTTTATCGTGGGCCAATCCGAGCGCTGTGACCTTGAGTAGACTCTAGAGAGAGAGATATATTTAGCTGTGAGCGGTTCGAGCTGTTCGGCGCTGCCTGTGTTCGCTCTACCTGCTCTGCCTTGCGCTCTAAAGTGTCTCTCTTTAGAGTTTAGAGTAGTGGCCCGCAGCGGCAGATAATAACGAGGGAGTTTCAAGGGAAACTCTGGGCCCAGAATCGTCTCTTCGTTGAGATCCTCGTAGCCGAGGATCGTCGTAAACGTAGCTCGACTTGCGAGACCTTGAATCTTGGAATTATCCGACTTATTCTCTCTCCTTCCGTCGATTTAAATGTTCCTTCGATTTCCAATGCCACGGGGCTTTCTTACTCTAAAAAGAATACATATTTAATCCATAGTTGGTCGCTTGGATGGGGTATCGTAAGTCGATAAATATTTGCAAACGCTCGCCTGTTTTTATAGGAACGTTAAACGTTGTTGCAATTTCTTTCGCAAGAAGAATTCGAAGTCTTCTCGACGTCTCTGTAGGCTGCGTTTTATTATAGGATTATCCGCTAACAAGGATATTGCGCGTGAGTAATTTCAAGAAGGGCGATGAAAGTAGGCCTCTGCAACAATATTCATTGTTTTTTTTCTTTTCTTTTTTCAAAGAAGTGTCACTTTCAGACACCGTTTTCTTTCTCAGGTAATACCCGACGACATGAATTGCAGTGTTTAAACATTTTTCGGCTGGTCTTGCTGCTAGTTCAAGTCAATGTTGAGAACTCGCCTCCAACCTTGATTCTTCGTTGAAGAATTTTCGGCCCGTGCGTGAACCTCAAAGCACCTTGAAACAATACGCGGTTCAGCAATCGGCGGTGTTCCCAGGGACATTTGATCATTCTCCTTTTCATTTTCAGACGTTGTATCGTGAATAGTTAGGTGACGATGATGAGTTTTGAAACCAGTTCTCCTTGGGTGCATCGAGGGGCCGGGAGCTTCACGAGGTATTCAGGGTTACTCGCCCCCCGTTTCCGTGAATTGTGAACTTTTAGAGCGTGAACATTCACGGGACAACGGGAACGTACCCAAATTATACGTTGGTACTTCCGATAATTACGGTAGAGATGAAATTACAAGACTACCGACGAGATGACTCATTGCCCTGGTTAATAAAAAAAAGTGAAATTTCCGGCTAAATAAGTTGCACAAGTATCATAAAGTTGTAACAAGCCTCTCCGACTCGATGCATTAACAATTTTACAATTATATAACAAATTGCATTGAGCCTTGTTGCGTGGCTGTTTTGCTATACTACAATTATGAATTGACAACCGACACGCACATCGTCGGAGATTGTTGCTATCTTGTTGAATCTACTGTTTTTCTTGCCGAGCCGCGTTTATCAGCCAGGAGAGATACCGTCTTGCTTTTGATAAATTGCCTCGCTATCGTGCCAACTTTTCGCCAATTCCATCAAGAATTTCTTATTTCCGCCTCGGGAAGAGTTAACCACCGCGTAGCACCTACAGGGAAACAGAAAAACAAAAACCATTTCAACAACTGCTTTCCAGCATGCTTTCGAACTCCCGTCGGTGCGTTTTTTTTTTTTTTTCAAAAGGCACGTACCGGTGCCTTCTGATTCCAATTCAAACATCGGACCGTGACATTTGTAAAATCTAGCACGGTGCGCGCAACAAGTTCTCCGGCGCGGGATCGATCGCTGCCGATCGATCAATATGCCGGTGCGGCAATGCCACTTCGAATTTACACGGGATCTATTTACACGGAACCAGCCAATAGTTCGATGCAACAGGCGAACCGAGATTTCACTCTCTTACAAGAGAGTGCGACACACACACATACGTATACACGTACTACATACATACATACGTACATACATACATACGTACATACATACAGAGAGAGAGAAAGGGAGGAAAGGGGGTGGGTGGCGAGCGAGTGAACAGGTTGGAAAAAGAAGCGAGACAGGAGGAACGAGAGTGATGGGAGAGAAAAAGAGAGCAAGAGAGAGTACTTCGGATGCTAGAACGAGCCAGGACACATACAACGGAAAGATAGAGGAAGACGGTGAGTTACAAGAGCAGGAGATCGACAAGAGAGAGATAAAGAAGACATGGGATCGTTGGTCAGAGAGAGAGAGAGAGAGAGGGAGTGAGTGAGTGAGTGAGAAACAGTCGGCGGCGGTGGGAGGGGAGGGGAGGGGAGGGAAAGAGAGTGAGAAAGGCTACAAGTCTGCGCGGTATTCCTTTCAGTGTGATTGTCATTCATGCATTGTGAATCAGGGACTTTATTTTTAGAAGCGACTGAATGAAAGTGGAGTACCCCGTAGTAGTAGTATAATGTCAGTGGTAGGAGGAAGAGGTGGTGAAGGAGGAGGAGGAGGCGGTGGAGGAGGAGGAACGACGAAGAGGAGGAGAATGAGGAAGAGAAGTACACGATAGGAGGAAGGGGTGTGCAGAGAAAGAAAGACAGTCCATCGACGTGAAAGAGGGCGAGGGAGGGAACGAGGAAGACGTTCCTCCGATCTGCGAGTAAATCGTACTACGTCCTCACACGTGCTTGCTCTCCCTTCTCCGTCACCCTCTTCCCCCCCGTTTACGCCGCTACCACCACATGACCACCACCGCCCTCAGTCAACGACACAAACTACGGGACACGCGAACGCAGCGGCACACGCACGTGCCCACTCGGACGCGAATGTCGTTTACCTATACCCCTATGAATCGTGACAGAGAATCGGCCGAGATAGAGCAGAGCGTGAGCGTGGCAGCATGGAAACGAAACGCGTACAGTTGCTGAAGAAGAAGTCTAAAGGGGGGAGGGGAGGCGATTAAATGTGAAAAAGTCACCAGGGGGCTGTTTGTGTGTAATTTCGTATCGAGTTGCTTTTGATTTAAGAAGAAATGGGGGATAGGGGGAGGATGGCTTTGCCTTTGCTTTTCTATCGTTTCAATGTGTTCTTGAGGTTCTCCTTAAGAGTATGTGTTTGTTCCAATTTCGAGGGAATAGAACTTGTTGAATACACATTTGAATACGTACACGTTCAAGTATTCCAACTACTGCACACGTGAAAACTAATCTGTTTCCAACGACATAGTCATAAATCGTAACTCCACGTGCAACAAAACAGAGAAAGAGTTCCAGATTTTCGTTGTGTACTACGTCGATCGTGGATCAATGGAGAAATCGTACGACGCGTCGCGTCGTTCGCCGGGCGGAGAGGCGTCTGAATGGGAGATTTCGAAAATTGGGTCTCGCAAGGAGATTCCGAAGATAAAGAGGCAGACGGGCGAAATAACCTTCGAGGTCACGGCTGACAAAAGTGAGACGAGGAAAGAGAGAGATGCCCGCGCAGACACAAACGAACAGTATGCGTGTACGTATGCACGTGTATACGTGTATATATATATATATGTGGCGCCGTGCGTAAGTAACGATCCAATAAATACATAGGAGGATCATTGACACCGTCCACGTGGCTGGGTTTCAACCGTCGGTTGTACTACGATGTTTACAGTTTAATTCGAGATACTCGAAATGTCACGTGCGCACGTTAGGCGTACTATTCACGATAAACGTGAGTCTTTCCGTCTGAGAGAGAGGGAACGAGGGCGGGTCTTTCGAGAAGGGAGGGAAGGGGCAGATGATTTGACAAATTGCTCGCGAAATGAGTCACCGAGGCTCATGCCTCCTGTGTCTTCTCTTCGGATGTTTCTCTTTCTCTCGCAGCCAGCCATTATATATACGTGTATATATATATATATATATGTATATATATATATATGTATATATATATGTATGTATGTACTCAAGGTCCAGCAACTATACATGTCCCGTTATCTGAATTGGATTATCAAACTGCGTGCAACCTTGACCCAGAACAAACTCTTATCTCGTATGTAAACAGACCCGCGTGCATTCGATTTACGTCACCGTATCCTCCACCGTGCCTCGAATTTGCGCCTATATATATTCCGGCGCACGTGAGAGGACTCGACGATTCTCTCTTGCTCATTGTGCAGCTCTGACACTGACTGTTTCTCTGAGATGCATGCGGCTTCTGGACAGAACGCGAACGTGTTCAATTAATTCTTCAGAGGTTTCAGAAATGAAAGTGTCATGCCTGTCATTCGATTCCTGTGGCTCTCCCAATGTCGTCTACGCTTTCACAAATTGCACGGTAGATCACACAGCTGGGCGAAGAGTTTCTGAATAAAAGGATTGGATTTATGGATTAAACAGGAATTTATCAACGAACGAATGGAACACGACGTACCTTTTCATTTTGTTACATCAGAGAGAAATCCAAGCGAATGCGTTGATTTGTTTCCTGTTGATAGGAACTTGTGCCGGTGAGATTGGAGTGGCCTTGGCCTTTCAGAAAAAGATTGGAAGCAGACGAGGCGTGGGATAATGAGCCTCTAAAGTGAAAATGGTCCAGAATAGATGACAGCGATAAATTCAACCTATTCCACGAGCGTGTGAATGAAATAGGGCTGGCTGACTATAGCTGTATATATGCAGATAAGAGTTTTCATGAATGGACGCTTGTTTTTTTTTCTTTTCCCTCTTCCTGCAATGCCGTCGTGCTTACGTGAATGGATGCGATGTTAATTGTCGAAGCTCCATGCACTTTCACGTGATGAAACTCCGCCCGGATGTCATTCGTGAATAGACAAAAATTCAATAGCGCGCTAGAAAAAGAGAAAGAGAAACAGAAGAGCGAGAGAAAAGATAAAACGGCTTAAAAGTGTAAACAGATTAAAACTTAAATACTTTTCAGTCATCGAATAGAAGTAAACTTTCTCGAGTGAAAATTTAAATTGAAAATTATTGGAAGAATAAACGTTGAAAGTTTGAAGTATAACACACACCATTGTCATGGCTGTTTAAAACCGTTCAAGTCATTACAATTATTGTGGATTTTGCTTTTCGCTTGAACGTCGTCGCTCAATTCTATTTTCAAACGTGAAACATGAATTATTTAATAGCGTTTGCGATGTGCATTTTCATTTGTGCGCAGTCTCAAGAAAATTTTTCTTCGACGTGAAACGAAAGAAATATGTAATTCCATGGTAAACACCATGACAATGTTTGTTTCTTACAATTTTGATCGCTGACAATAAGTATTTAATACCTGTGTGCAANTATAAATATAAATATAAATATAAATATAAATATAAATATAAATATAAATATAAATATAAATATAAATATAAATATAAATATGAATATAAATATAAATATAAATATAAATATACATAAATATACATATGTTGCAAAGACTACGATTTCCAGCGTTCAATCCCGATAAACATTTGTATAATTCAAAGAAGATTGCAACATTGTTACATCGAGGTATGTAATGCAAAAGTACAATTCTTCAGACGAACATAACGCTATAAGCAAGTCGAGAGACTCCGACGACTGGAAGCACGAGTCTTTGATTAACGTGTAATTAACGTTGTACTAATATATAGAAATGTAAAGCTACGTAAACACCGTGCGTGTACGATGTTTGGACGACCGAGCCTAGAGGACTCGTTCCGCAAGATTGCTGATAGCTAAGAAGCGGCGTCTGATCGGATGGGAGACTGAAATCGAGATGAGCGCAAGATCGAGTTGCATGTCTCGTATTCCGGATTCTGATTTCTCCGCAACCGAGCGAGCGGGATCTCAAATAGAATCTCATTGGCCACGGAGCGAAATGTTATCTCTCGTATACTGAAACATGCGTTTTGGATGGAGAAGTAAGTTGGGCTGTTGGCTGATGATAAGATAACGCGTTCTCAATCGGCCAGCTGGCTACACGCATTTCGCAGCGTGCACTCCAAAAACGCATGTATCTAAAAATCTTCAATAACAATCGCGTTTACTATAGAAATTAATCATTTCTAGCGGATGTAGTAGATAACTCGCGAGTGTACATTTTGAGTATTTCAAAGGAGAATAATTGAAACAGTTCTGGATCTGATATTGTCACATCTTCCGTCATCTAGAGACACACGTGCCTCTTTGCCTGTAAGTTATGTCAATTATTGTAATATTTTTCTTAAGAGTTTAATATTTTTAATTCTCTGAAACATTCAATATCGAAATGATATTCAATGATGTTTTATGATAAAAAAAAAAAAAAAAGAAGAGAAATTTAACCAGATTCCAATGAACACTTTCAACGTTCAATCACCTTCCTATTTGCTTCGATCAATTATTATTCAATTACCAAAAAATGCTTCAAGCAATCCCAACGCAAAGAATCGTTGAAACATATTGCCGGTATATATCGTCCATACTTTTCTGCTTTGCTCGCATTCAAAACGCGATCGTTCAGTCGCGATCCGAGCGGTCAATCTTAACGACGTATTAAAAGCTGGACATCGACCGTTACCCGCAGGCGCGTGGAGATGAATTGATTTTTAAAATCGGCTCGCTCGACATCTCGGCCGCCCGTCCGTGAAGATATTGCGTCCACGCTGATCACCAGCCGCCAATAACATTCGTCAGCGATAAATCGACGTTGTGCAACCCGTGCATCATGAAAAACAAATCGCTGACGTTCGACACTGAATATTCTGTCGACAGAGGCAACACAATACACGGTGCATGCATATGCACGATGTGGTGGCAGGTTCTTTCGCGATGCACGCGTCTTCGGCTCGCGTGTTGCCCAGACAGCCGAAATGGAATTAACCCCTTGAGGGATGCGGTACGTTCGGTCTGGCTGTCGAAAGAGTTCACCGTAAAAGGAAGGGGGGAGGGGGGAGGATCGAGCAAACAAAGTTTAGCGCAACAAAGGAAACGCACGGCGGAGATTTACCGGCATGGGAGTTCTATTAATTTCTGTTAACCTCTTGCGCTGGAATGACGTGCCACGCACGTCGAGAATTTTTTTTTGTCCCAAAATTGCAATATTTTCGCAGTTCTAAGTATGTTTAAGTATTATAATATTTATAGTATATTATATTATTATATTTTAAGTGTATTTAAATATTATAATATTTATATATTATATTATATTATTATATTTAAGTGTATTTAAATATTATAATATTTATATATTATATTATATTATTACATTTAAGTGTATTTAAATATTATATATATTATATTATATTATTTTATATTTATATTATATTATATTATAGTATTTTAAGTGTATTTAAATATTATAATATTTATATATATTATATTATATTATTATATTTAAGTGTATTTAAATATTATAATATTTATATACTATATTATATTATATTATTATATTTAAGAATATTTAAGTAACAAATAATAAATTCATTACTTCTCGATAATATCTGTCCAGAGATATCGTGCCGACGAGTTCAAAGAAGAAAGCGACGAATTATTGTATACGGTTCGGTCACTCGTTATGGTCCGCAATCAGTTGCCAGCGCAAGTGGTTAAAATCTTAATTGTACGGCGCACTTTCTTTCGGGACTCCTCTGTCCTGCCCGGCGGCGAGTGTTGCCAAAATATAATTTATAAAATGCTTCCCATTTCGTAGTAACTTTCATGCAAGTTAATCTGATTTGAACTTGAGGAATTCGTTTCGTAGCGCGACGTGTAATTCCTTTAACGTGAAGCTTCTTCACGTGGGAATTATATCTGCTTGCGAGTGGAAATGGCAAACAAATAAATAGAAAATATTCTGCAATAAATAAAAAGATATAGAACACGATGGTTTCATTAAATGATTTGACAAAAGGATCACTGTTGCTGAATTTTGTGTTTGTATTTCACATACCTCGCTTCTTTCGTTTCACTCACCATTCGATCCTCTAATGGAGAAGGAAAATTGATAAAAATATGATTTAAACGCGTTAAGCAACTCTTTGCTAATTCGATTTTCGAGACGATTTCTGAAAGCAGTGTGTTATTTTTTTAGTTCAATTTAATGTCTCGCTAAGAAACAACGGAAAATTTGAATGATCGTTATCGTTGAAGAGTTATGATATTTTGTAACCTGTTAAACTGGGTCAGTCCGAAACTTCTTTAGCCACAGAATTAAAAATTAATCGTTGCGAGTCAATTTCAATTCTCCTACAATATAAATGTGTACCCACATACTATATCTCCAGTGTGTGTAACAATGTCTTAGAAATTATATTCTACATTTTTCACAGTTAAGGCCTCCAATAGCCTTCAAATAGATCCAAAGAAGAAAGCAAATTTCTGAAAGTAAATGTTCAGTAGTTTACTGATAAAGAAGTAGTCTACTAATAAAGTAGTCGATCACGATTACGGCCAGCTTTCTCACATACATAATTCTTACGCGCCAATTGACGTCATTTTACGCAACGCTGGATACGAACCACTATCGATTCACACACGACATACGGGATACACACATGCTGTGTGTCATTTCAAATGCCATTGTTGCGTTTCGTTTGCAAATTCCTCGATGAAGCAGCTTTCTTAATTTCCGGAAATTATCCATATATATACTGTTTCTAAAATACTTGAATATTCATTGCAAAAGCTACACGTGCATGTCGATACGCATAATTAGCATACAGAGCTTCTTCTGCCAGGAAGTTTCTTTTCTGAAATTCAGATTAAATTTTAAGAAGTTGAATCCGATTTTCTAAAAAATAATAGGAAGGAAAATCATAAAGAATACCTTTGTATCGAATTCACGAAGTAACGTTAATGTTATTAACATTGGAGGGAAATGAATTGCAGCATTGACATATCGATCAATGAATTTAAAAATGGAAGAGGTTACGCGTAAAATGTAAAAATCTGGTGTTACGTAGCAGTTACTGCAAACGCAGGCTTGATCGAAGTTTCACAAGAAAGATTGACACGGTAATTGGCGAATGATCGAACGAATCGGAGCCTAGATCATTTCTCTTTGCGTGCAAATTGCAAACTTTATCGTATCCGACTGATCTACTGGTCGCAGATCGATCGAACGCTACCTTGGCGCAGTCTCGGTCGGTAATTACAAAAGTCAATTTCGCAGGTTCGCTCTTCTCTTATCTAGCCGACCTCTCCGAGTGGAAGTCAAGTATATTATCTCTCCTTATTGCTACACTTCGTTGCAGCATTGAACAACCGCAGGACTCGACTCGACAATTCAGAAACGAAATGCGTTTCGAAAACTAACCTATTTCCTGTAACAATTACAATTGCGTGTATCAAATGTTTATGAATGAAAGAAAAAACATAGAAACATTAATATAAATAATATGTATATATGATACAAATTAAAATATAGCGATCGTTAATGCGAAATATAACAACAAATGTATTTCACTTCGACAATCTAGCAAATCTCACTTTTATATCGTGTAACAATGGAGAGCCTGTTGCGCATGCGTATCACGAATCGAACGAACAATTTTTGAAATAAATTCTACTCGTGTTCATCTAAATAGAATAATGTGTCTGATCTCTTTCTACTCTCGTGTCCTTTCGTCCCTTTGCAATTAACGCAACATCGATGTTTAAAGTGCACAAAAATGTTAGATGGGAAAGTGATTCCGACAACTTCCCGTAATCGCAAACGTTTCGTCGTTTTATTATTCTCTGGTAGAGTATCGGAGTCCCGTGCCAACGCGGCGCACGTTTTAAAAGTACATATTGTGGAGATACACTCAGACTATGGATTATAACGACAAGGATGCCATGCTCCGCGGTTTGCGCTAATGAACCAAGCAAGCCTTTATGGTGGTTTTATTCTCTTACGTCACCAAATTCATCGGCGTGGCCTCGGTTCGCACGTAACGCCGGACCTCTGGCGGCTTGTTCTGGAAACAGGCCAAGCTAGGCCGCGCCAAGCTAACGAATTTTTTTTCCCGGTGATAAAGGCTGACGCAGAAGTTATCCGGGAAACGACAGGGAAAATCGCAAACCGCGCTCTGTAACTATCTTTAAACCTTCAAACGCTTCTCTTTCCTTCTTTACGCCTCTCTTAGAAATCTTCCTTATAAAACCATTCAACAAAGTTGTCTCTATCGCACTAAAGTTACTTCTTTTTCTTTTGATCAAGAAATTCTTCAAACTCGAAAACATATGATGGGAATTAAATACTTAAAAAATATATATATATATCAATATAGTAAAATATAGTATAGTATAATATAGTATAGACTTATAACACAGTATAGTAGAGTATTATATAGTATAATAAATATAGTAATACAGTAAAAGACCAATAGTAATTGTTATATTCGAAATTAGCGTGAGAAACTAATAAATTGTAGGATTGCAACTGTCGTACGTCGTAATTCAATTTTATAGTAAAACCGACTACCGACTTACCCGTTCAGCGAGGATTGCACAAAGTCTTCGGGGTTTCCCGTATCCTTTTTGCACCTGCCGGATTCGTTCTGACTCCGCAGGTGCTTAGGAAAGTACAGGACGTGATCACTCACACTCTTGCGCTCGCAAAGGCTGCTCCTTCTCTATGTTTGAATATTATCTCCGTGTTACTTGTACGTCTGCACGAAGCACACCTGCCCCCCCCCCCTACCTCTTTTACCAGTGACTTTGTACCATCTTCAAATTTTCCGAAAGTTTTCGAAAAAGCTTCCTGCCAATACATCCTTCACGCAACGATTCATCTCTACGCAAAATCTCGTGAGAATTAAAAGGGAGATTTTAAAACCTCGGTTTCGTTTGGTTTTTAAAAAAATAACCTGTTCATAAGAACGAGACAGAAACTTTTACTTCAACAGATCTGCTTCAAAGCATCAATTGGAAATCTTTCCTGCAGTCTAATGAACTTCTTGACGCTCTATAAAATTGTAAATAACGATAAATTGTTTGGATTTAATTTTACTTAAAGTTTCATTTTATTCTTCATGGATTCAATGTATTTGAAACGTATTTGAAATTTCTTTAGTTTCTCTGATTTCCTTTTAAATTATGCAAAATGATGCCTTTTACCTTGTAGCGCAATCACATTGAAAAATCCTTCTTTTGTTAAACAGATGTGCAACTAACTAGAAATTTACCAATTTGCTAAATGCAATTTTGGTACAGTGTCCGATAATACAATTTTGTAACAGTGTCCGATATCGAAGATAGAGATCACTGATGTGTAATCAGTAGTCCAAACTCCCCACCAGAAGTTGAAACACCTGTTACAGTGTTTGTAAAGAGGAGATGTTCTGTTCATTCTCATCTAGATCATGGTCCCCTACAATCTATAGATCTCTACTTTACCGGAAGCATCAACTACCTTTGAAGATGGCAGCACGTATCGAAACTGCTATTTTTTTTTTCAGCAATAAATGATTAATAATCAAATTCCTGTATCCTTCTATTCAGCCCAAGTTGTTCTCCATTATCAACTCGTATCATACGTTTGAATTTTTATTCAGAACTGAAAATTCTTAATTTTATTCAATAAATTAAGTAAATAAAACAAAATCAAAGCACAGCAACTTATAATCACCTTCTTCTTTCCTCTGCACTTTGTAAATTTCAATTCGATACGAAATTTCATATTATGAAGATTGTTTCCAATGAAATAATAGTAATGAAACATAATTAACTGCACTTCTTTCTGTAAAAATTTATAAAATCTGAAAGAGTCATCGTGATTTTAAATTCTTGATTAAACTCTTAACATTCTCTTGACGACCGATTTTTACATTTGTAGCTCGAATAATTTGACGATTGCGACGATGAACAGTCGACGTTTGAAAAATGATAACGATGTTTACCAATAGGAAATGTAACTTTGAATGTTCGATGGACAGTACAGGATATGTCAGATGGTGGTGCGTCAGAGGATGACGTCAGCCATGATCTTGACGCGGATTTACAGTAACATTTCCATCGACTGGATTTGAATCTCTCTCTCTCTCTCTCTCTCTCTCTGTNCTCTCTCTCTCTCTCTCTCTCTCTCTCTCTCTCTCTCTCTCTCTCTCTCTCTCTCTCTCTCTCTCTCTCTCTGTCTCTTTCTTTCCTTTTTCCACCTCTGACGTATACAACGTGATATACCGTGTATTATACACGTGCTTCCATAGTACTTTTAGTGAGAACTGATGGATTCATTTCAGCGCATGCATTTTTAAGAAAGAGCTACGTATCTCTATACCTTTTTTAAATCTGTTATACACCGTTATTCACCGTTATCGTCTGCTTTCTGTTTCATTTTTTTCAATTAGGTATACTATGTCTCGGTTCAAGTATAAGATGTTCACGTTAGCCGATTGAAGTTTTTTCTTTCTAAAAATATTAAATTAAAATATTAAATATTAAATATTAAATATTAAATTAAAAAAATTAAAATTGTAACGTTGACAATTGATAAATATAACAAGCATTTGAAAAGAAAGTGACATGTACATTTATTATTCTTCATTTCAAAGCATAGCTAAAAGGACAGAACCTCCAATATCAAAATCACGATGAAACATACAAATGCCTTGTTATGCTGAATACATATGACTTTGTAAATATTCTTTCTTCATCTTTCTTTTAAAAAATTTTAATCATTTGAGTTAGAAAGATATCGTATAATGATTATATTTCATATTATTAAATAAATGAAATAAATTTGAATTATTTAAAAAAATCTCAAAGGTACCCCCCAGTCTTCAATCTATTGATTTGTAAGAGCGCAAGATGAAACTCTGAAAGTTCTCCATCAAGATTTGCAACAATGTAAAATGAGACACGTGCGCTGCCGGCGTCTTTCCCTCTCGCTCTCGCGGCAATCGATTGCAGAAACGCTGAATCATTTGCAGTGGTCTCAAACGTCTCGTAGAAAATTCATCGAACACCTTGTTCCAATTCTCTCGTTGCCGAAGATGGTCCTCTGGCGAGATCATGTCGGCACGTTCACCTCCGTCGACGAGGATGCAAAATGAACCAACGTAAATTTAGAACCGCCTTCTTTCCTCGTTTCGTAATCACAGTTAAAAGGGGAAATGCTTCTCTCCTCCGGCGAGTAAAAAGCGCCGCCGGTAACGTTTTTCCTCGACATGCAGAAAATGTGAACTCGACGCTTCTGAGATTTTTCAAACTCCTCCCAGGAAAATTCCAGATGATGACTAGAAAACACACAACAGTTCTGATGTGAAAAAATGGGAATAGCTCGACGATTGGAATAGCAGACGACTGGACCTCCGAAGCCTGGACGTCGAGCCTGAAAACCTTGGGGCTCAGGGCCATTGTCGGGTGGGGCCTTTGCCTCTCTTCCCTTTCCCTTTGATAGCCACGGGAGCCTTTCATCTCCTGAAACACGCCAGAGAGAAGAACTTCTGTGTGCACGAGAGGCTGTGTCTTCAACAATGTTGAAGGGGGTACGACGCCAGGAAGATGAGCCCATGGTAGCTACGTCGTCTCCAGACAAGAACCGAAATTGCATTTTCACCGAGGGTCGTCTTCAGACGCGAGCAAAGCCCCCTTCTTATTCCTCACTCATTTTTCTTTTTTTCTTCTTCCACTTATTTTTCATCTCTTCTTACGTTTCTTCTTTCATTCCGTTTCTCTATTCTCCCTTTTTTTTCTTTTCATCGTGCTTGTTTTTAACCTTGTTTTCGAACGCTCTTTTTCTTCTCTTAATACCTTTCGTTTTCTTGTTTGCGGGGCCTGTACTCTCCGAGGATTGACCAGGACAGCAAGGTTAATCCGATAGTTTTTAAAGACTCTAAAGATCTTTTTAAAATTTCTTTATCTCGTCGAAATTTTGTATGTAAGATTTTGCCTCTGCCTATACAGCACGTTTACGTGGCTAATAATGAAAACAATTGAGATCATAACAAACAGCTAAATGATAATGAGACCATTGATATTCAATGATAAAAGTTTGCACGCAGTTAATTGAATTGTTCTCGCTTGTACAACAGTGTCAGTGTTTGTAACGATTATGATAATGACGGTGTGTGTTAAAGACATGTGCGAAACTTGCGGGAAACCTTAATAAAGGCCGAATATCATTTAAATTTGATTAGCCGGATTTTAACGCAATTTATACTTCCCACGATCGAAACCTTCTCTGTGCGAGATCTTAATTCGATCTGGCATATCAAGGTGATAACAATCTTAAATAAAAAAAAAAACTACCTTGCTCCTTTGAATTTATATACGCACAAATTCCTTCCAATAGACTGTTGGACGTTCGATGCTTTGAACTCTTCTATTTTGCATGTGTACACGTTTTTCTATTTTGTATCATCAAAGGAACAAACGAGACGAAATCACGTTCGTCATTGGGAACGAAGGCTGGGGTTAACTTGATTAAATGGCGTGCGAATGTCTTGGAAATTTTCATTGAATGTGGGCGGAAGCGTAGCGTTTGTGTTGCACGTAAATCTTGAACAGGAAGCGAACGCGCGTCTACTCATGAAATCGCCACTGCCTTTCCATCAAAATTCTGATCACGGGCCGCGGCCGTTTCGTCCAAGATTCGACTGAACAAACATAATCTCACGCTAGCCAGGCTCATCTCCTCAACACAAACTATTTCTTCGCACTTCGGCAAGACTTACTTGAAATTGCAAACAAGTTTTCACGAAGAACGTTCTAACGGGACACTTCAACTTTCTTCGTTCCATTGTCACGGTGTTTGTTAGAAAAAAAAAAGAAAAAAAACTCCTTCAAGATAATCTCGATCAACTCGATCTTGTCACTGGAAATAAATTTCCTCTCTCCTTTACTGCACTAAAATAAAACAAACATTAATCTCTTGATTCGTGTCCAGTGCGTGTTGCATTTCTTTTTTCCTCAATTGTTTTGTAAAATTATCCATGTCTCACTGATCTCAGCTCATTGATCTCTTGATTATTGAGCATCATCGAGCGCTTCCTCGACTTTCTTTTTTCTAACGAGCAGCGTCACTATCAATGAGGCAGCGCGTTTTTAAAACAAAACCAACGGGAACGTTACCATCGAGACGTCTTTGACGTGCAAATTGTACTTCGTAGCTGCGTTTAATTGAAAGACTGTTTGCAAGATGGTACAATCCGGTCTCGCTTTCATCGCAGCGATCGCACAAAGGTAATTCAATTTCCGCGCTAACGCGCACAACCGTGTGTATCGTTGCGCATGGGTATCGTCGCTTTCCTAAAAACATCGGCCCCTACAAACAACTAAGCAATAGCCCAAATAAACAAATGCATTCGCATGACGAGCCTTACATAAGAGTTTGGTGTACAGCGGCGAGCCGACGTTGTTCGCGTGACGAGCCGCTCTTGAACCAATGACAAGAATTCACAGGAATTTTTGTCCCGATTACACCGACCAGCTTCATTTCGACAACGAAAAAAATCTTACCGAAAGTGTCACCTATTTTTATTACTTACCTATTTTATACGCTGATCAAACAAGAAGTTTGGCAAGTCTTTTGCTAAATAATCATTTCTCGTGATTTCGTAATTTTCAAACAACGTTTCTGAAATCCTCGCTATTACTCCCGTTCTTTCAGTTGAATATTATATTAAGGTCTTGTTAAAAAAGAAACGAAGGCAATGAGAACGGTGTGCAGCAGAGACCTTCCATAACACTTCTTCCACAGCGCTTTAACAACGCGCGCTTTATTAAACCACTTAATAATACCTATATATAGCGACGAATTATCGATCACTATAGTTAATTTAAATAAAATTGTTCCTCGCATTAATCACTTCTACTCCAATAAATCATCCAACTGGCAGAATGGTCTTCGATGCCTATGGTGTTTACATGCTTTCAAAAGTAAACGCGCACTCTGCAAAGCTAACAATAGTTGGATGCATTGATCCGTTGCTTGAAACGGTTGATTGAGATAGATAGGGTGAAAACGCAGTGAAACATATACATACTCTCCATGGAGTCGAAATGGTCTACGGATTCCTCCTCAAATCAAAATACTCAGTTACTTCTCCGTACAACGTAATTTGATCTCTGTATTATCTGTCTCTCTTACTCGTACGTGTAATCTATAAAAACATAGAAATTTTTAACACCGGCCACAAAACAGATCTAGCCTGCTTTCCCTGTACAATTTGTTTATTATTCACGTGGTCATTTGATAATAACGATCACGCCGCGAAATGTTTATTCATTGCACGACCGATGCTCTATTTCTAACGAATAACAATTTATATACAACTGTTTAAACCACGTTAGCAAGTAGATTATCATTTTTTCTCTTTTTTTTTTAATTTACACACATATATATATAGATAAACATTCAGTTATTTATAATATATTCTGTCGGTTTGAAAGTATGAATAATTTTTAATCGTCGAAAGAACGAAGTAATTAATACTAGAATCGAGTTTTACCTTTTCTTGCTACTTTTGAAACTGTGTTCGTGGCACGAGCACGGTATAATGGATTCACTGATTGCGCGAAAAATACGGGTTTCATTCAGCGATTATTAGATGCTTCGTGTCCATCACTCAATCGTAATTTACTCCGTAAAGCAGGAAATGACGGAAAATGGAAAATGCGCAGTACTACCTGTGTAAGTGATCGTTTCTATTCTTCAAACAATATCCGTGGAAAATTCGTACCGTACCTCTGAAAGATCTCAAACCGTATTAAAAACGGAAGTGCGTTCTTTAACGTACATATCATTGTTCAAAAACATGTCTATCGCGTATTAACCTTCCTCGAGTTCCAATTATTCGTTTTCATTGTTCTGTCGTTGACTGATTGTGAGATTGTCTAATATTCGTCTGGATAATTTCCATCGAAGATCAAGGAGACAAAGAAATCACTGACTGATCAAACACTATCCGTGGAAAATTCGTACCGTCTCTGAAAAATCTCAAACTGTATTAAAAACGGAAGTGCGTTCTCTAACGTACGTATCATTGTTCAAAAACATGTCGAATCGATCTATCGCGTATTAACCTTCTTCGAGTTTCAATTACTCATTTTCATTGTCCTGTCGTTGACTGAGATCGTCTAATATCGATAGTTTCCATCGGAGATCAAGTAGATAAAAGAAATCACCGATTGATCAAACAATGTCCGTAGAAAATTCGTACCGTCTCTGAAAAATCTCAAATTGTATTAAAAACGGAAGTGCGTTCTCTAACGTATGTATCATTGTTCCAAAACATGTCAAATCGATCTATCGCGTATTAACCTTCTTCGAGTTCCAATTACTCGTTTTCATTGCCTGCCATCAACTGAGATCGTCTAACATAGTTTCCATCGAGGACCCAGGAGGTGAAAAAAAAAAAAAAACAATCATCGGTGGATTAGAAAAAAAATCGAAAACGACGCGTAAAATGCAAACACCTTTGCAAATTCACGCGGCGTAGGTACACGCGTACGTGCTCCAGAGTAGGTACACTCGTAAAAGCGTAAGATGGCGGCGGAGCAGTCGACGCAGCATCGCGGTGGCGCGCATGCGCGCGCCTGCGCCACGGGAAAGTAGTACGCTGGCCAGCTCGTTTCAGAAAATCGTGCGTACGTCTTTCTACGGCATACAGAGTCTCGCTACGATCGTGACACTACCAGGTCGTCTAACTCGTGTCGCTCACTCGCGATTGTTCGATCGTCATTCGGATAAACTTGCGTCCAGATATTCGTACGTTTGCACGGACCGGGATTCGGACGTCAGAGTGCGCAGTGGTCAGTGCGCATTGTTGGACCAAGACACAGCAGAACGGGAGATCCAGTGGGAGAGTCGAGTGTAATGTCTGATAAGACAAGCGATGGACAGCCGTGAGTGTGGATGCTCGTATTTTTGGTTTTGACAGTTGGACGGCAGCGGTGACTGAAACTGCGGCTGGCACGCGTGAGAACCATCGCAACCGCGTGGTGATATGCACGGCACGACGTGGCATCGATCCGAGGTGGTTTAACCTAGGGACCGATTCGAAAAATCGCTCGAACAGAAAAAAAGCACAAGTGGCGGTCGGTGTGTGTGTACGTGCGTTGTATCGTGAGCATTACGTGTCTCTCGACGGACAGAGCGCGACCGTAACGCAGCGAATCCGTCTCTCCGCGATAGGAGGAGGGAAATTCGCACGAGACGTCGGAACTTGTCCCATTCTTTCGATCTTTTCCTTGTCTCTTTCCCTGTTTAACAGACTGAAGAAGATTGATTTTGGTGTTACCTTCGAGGGCTAGATATAGCGCTGCCTCTCTTTTTCTCTCTCTTTCGTTCTCACTGCCGAGGGACGAGGAAGAAGAATGGAGGCGATAGCGAAACACGATTTCACGGCGACCGCCGAGGATGAGCTTAGCTTTCGTAGAAGCCAGATTCTAAAGGTTTGTATCCTCTGTCGCGGATAGTTTGCCAACTGTGACGAACTGACAAGAACGCCAGGCGATAGCCTCGCATTGTTGATCATTGTTGGAGAGTTGCTTACCGATCCCGAACTTTCTGAACTGCTTTCGTTTCGATCGGAGTTAGCGTGTCGCTTGCAAAATATTTGCAACGAATCGTGCTTGTACATTAACAACGTTAATTTCCTTGGTTTCTTTTCCCTATTAGCTCTTCCCTCCTCCCACTTAAAAAAAAAAAAAAAAAAAAAAACAACAGAGGATTTTATCTCTGTTATGCAATATTTTATCTTTATGAAGATATTTGCAACAGTTCGATACTGACGATCGAAGTATAGAAATTTGCATCGAGTAAAGAGAGGAAAGAAACTTTTGTCCATGTATGTCCAAATCTCCTCTCGCCAAAATCACATCAATTTATGAAATTTCTATGGAACGTTTAGAACTGGTCATTTTGATCAATTAGTCAGTCAGTAACTGCTGTTTCTATGAAACACTTAGAATCGATCATTTTGATCAATTAATCACTCAATAACTGCTATTGTCTTGTTTCTTCTTTGTTTGGTCTTTTCTTTATTAGCTCTATTATCATTAATTGCTCGGTATATTTGACAAGACGTTTGAGACTAAGTTTTTTTTTATATGCTTGTTTAAAAACATGTATGACTGGTTTATATTCTTCTGATAATAATATTAATTCACTTCTCCTTCCTGTTTACTTGATGATTCATATCAAAAGTTGTCATTTGGAATTTGTTTCTTCATTTTGTCTTCACCTTCATTTTTGTAATGTAATTTTTCTTTTACTTACAATTCTTTTCTATAACAAAGATAAAATGATTTTGAGACTGTTTGTTTATTTATGTTCAAGATGTTTCAATCATATGCAATTAAATGTTAACAGTGATTATGATTTCGATTTTTCCTTAAGATTGAAGATTGAAGATTGAAATAGATATGTTACAGTTATATTTCTCAATTCTTGTATGCAACGATATTTCATGTAATAAATTATGTCTATAACAAATCAGGCATGCAATGTTTTGTTTGCAGATTTTGAACATGGAGGATGATATGAATTGGTACAGGGCTGAACTAGACTCCAGAGAAGGACTCATTCCAAGTAATTACATAGAGATGAAAAATCATGAGTAGGTGTCCTTATATACTTTTTTTACTAAGTGTGTGTACATTGAAGAAATCTAATGCCTTGTCTAACTTGATTTGTTTTATTTAGCTGGTACTATGGAAGGATAACCAGAGCAGATGCAGAAAGATTACTAATGAACAAACATGAAGGCGCCTTTCTTATTAGAATCAGTGAAAGTTCCCCTGGTGATTTCTCTTTGTCTGTAAAGTTAGTAAGAAATTCTTAAACAAGATGTTGACATGATACTGTAAACCAATTATTTGAACCAATTATTTGAAATTTTTAATAATTTGTTTCTTTTTTTGTAGATGTTCAGACGGTGTTCAACACTTCAAAGTATTAAGAGATGCTCAAGGTAAATTCTTTCTCTGGGTGGTCAAGTTTAACAGTCTTAACGAATTAGTGGAATATCATCGTACAGCGTCTGTATCCCGTTCACAAGACGTTAAATTGAGGGATATGGTGCCAGAAGAAGTAATTATCTCTTGCATAACCGTCAAGCTATGAAGTAACAAAGAGATGTTGGTTTTACAATGTATAAGAATGCATATTGTTTCAGTGTTTAGTTCAAGCGTTATACGATTTTCAACCTCAAGAACCTGGTGAACTTGAATTCAAACGAGGTGATGTAATAACCGTTACTGATCGTACGGATCAACACTGGTGGCATGGAGAAATTGGTAATAGACGAGGCCTATTTCCTTCTACGTACGTTACTCCATATCACTCCTAGGTAAATATCATTTATATTAATAGTTATTTTTACTATCTTTTCGAAGTTTTATAAGAAAAGAAATGATTTATTCTAGGCCTCATGTTGTGCACACAGAGGCCAAAGGCATCGGCCGCATTATCCCACCACTATCACGTACAGGATCAGACTTACTGCAGAACTAATCAACAACATTTTACAAACTCCACCTATCGAATGGGCTACCAGGATGTATTGGTGGTCTAGACGTAGAGTTGTTTAAATGGACCGATATTATCACTTATACGTATACTTTTTATTGGTCTCATTGAAAAACGTTCTCCGTGTTTAGTAATTTATATAAACAAATGTAGAGTGATATATCGTGATATAACACATAACAAAGTGACATGTTCTTGTTTGTTGTTATTGGATCTCTAAGAAAAATTTTTCACTGGGACTGATACAATTGTCCAAGACAGATGTACGTGTTATACAATAGGCACAATGTTCGATTATTCCAAATTTGATTTTTGTAAATCTGAAAATTTTCGAATGAAATGCTAAAGGGAGTTTTCTACATCTTGATAGTCCATCGATGGAGTATGCGTATGAAAGCATATAATATACATAATATAACTGTGTACATCAGTAACTACGAATATTGATCGTATTACGAAGATTACGAAGAAAAATGCGTATTGTTTTGAAGGACAGGTGTAAGCGGGCTGGCATAAACATTGTATTTTTAAATACGAATTTGTTGTTCGAAGAATGGGGACCTTGGTGACAAAGAGCCTAGTAAGCTATCCATATACGAGATACAAGAACTTTATATAGATGTAGCATTAAAATGCGTCGCCTTTTGGCATAAAATGCACACCATTCTGCCTCTATGTTGTGAATATTTTTACAAATATTTGAGGAAGAGAGTATTCTTCCAACGGTTAAGATACATCTGATATTATGACATCAGATATACTTGCTATGTATCATATATAGACTTGTACTATTCAGACTGTATGTGGAATAATCATTCTTGCATCTCCTGAGGTAAATCGTTTTCAAGTATTAGCAAAGGAATAGCAGTTTATGTATGCTGTTCCGTCTTCTGAATTTTTCCAATGGCACGCAAGTGATTGGAAAATTTTATTTTTACCGACTATGCTACGAAACATAGTTTCTTGAAACATTGTGTTTTCTCTTTTCGAGATTTTATCACGAAAAAAGCGAACGGGAATACAAGTTTTTTTTACACAAACGTCGTACATACATATTCACGCTGGGACTCGGACACAACGACTGATTTATTCTTTGTAATTTAAGGAGTATCAATAATCGAAGGAACGTAGAGAAATAGAATAAATGTATAAATTTTGCATGAGAGAATCGTTTTGTTCCTCGTTTACCGTCTTTGTAATGCCAATTTATGTTTTGTAAAATGCATTTTCTCTGACATGCCAAAAAGTGATATGTAAAATAATTAATGTAAAATTGACCAGTCTTGACTTTTGAACGAATGGTATGTATAACGTTTTTGTTTCAAAACCTATTAATTTTTAAAAGAACGGAAGTCCATGTATATTTTTTAAATACTTCTTTTTATCTAATTATTTCAACAATCTTGCTTTCTTATTTTCGTGTAAACAATAAAGATATGTAGTCTTATTGTGTAATTATTATTATTCGTTATGTTTACATTTTATTGATAACAATATATTATATTAATTACTCTTGCATGCATTATTTACTTATGCCCATCTACCATTATTTTTTAAAATTATTTTATATATCAGGAAAGAAATATTTTAGCTGGCGTAACTGCTTTGCAAAATACCATATAAATAAGTAATCTTATATGCTTATGCATGCACTATATTCAAAATAGGAGGAAAGAGACAGCAAATACTAAAAAGAATAAACTTTTTCCTTCTACCATGTGAAAGAAAGGAAAACAAATGATTCTTAAGTCAAGTTTTGTACGATCAATAAGAGAAGTCTTTTGCATTATTAGTAATTTTTTTATTATTTTGTACAATTTCTGAAAAAATAACTTTTACATTGATGAAATTGGAAAAGAACGCAAATAATATATCAGTGTTCACCTTTTATAATGTTTAAACATGGAAGAACATAGCGATTAATTATTTAAGTTTAAAATGTTTATTGTGCAAGTTTATGTACTTTATTCTAACTTTGTGGTTAATGTTACTGAGAGTATAAATATAGTATAGTTGAATCTTGTCAGACTCTTTAAAATCAGTAGCATAGATTATAAGTATGTAGCATATAGATTCACTTGCCTTTTGTACTTAAGAAGAATTCATCGTTACAAATATCTGTTACGCACAATTTATTTTTCTTTTATCACAGTTACTTTTTATTCATGCAATTATGCAATTTATATTTATTTTTTTAATTACTACATATTAAATATCAAAACAAAGTCTCTAAGACGATAAACAAATAAAGCAATATGCAAATATAGTTACTAGGAATGTTGCTTTGAAACTACGTGTACAATTGCTTAGATGAATTTGGAATTGAGTTGTCTTACGACAACGGTATACCATGATACATCTGGACCAAGAAATGTATAATAATGAAATGTAATAAAATATATGTTTGAACAAAATTTATTTCGCTGATCTTGATTTTATTCGTTATTCGTTGAAGCTGTACAAAATTACACTGCTTACACTTATTTTGATGATTAACAGAAAGAATTTATATTATGAGGAAAATTAGAATGAATTCATATTATGAAGAAAATGTATTTGTTGCAAAGAAAATGCTAATTATTAACTGCCTGATGTATAGCTAGTACTTAACCGCCATGTAATTACAAAATACAACTATAGCGTAATAAAGTGTCGTATGAAATATATGGACTTTTATTTTTAAAGTATAATGATACTTTATATTTTCTCTTTATCTTACACAATAATTATAAAAATTATGTAGTCTAACTTGTCTTTAATTTAGAAAGTTAGACTATATAATTTGTCTATCAACATAAAAACACTGAGTCAACACACAAGTCTATATGAAATGTATCTACCAGCAGTCTCGGAAGGCCTAATAATTTTTACAACTTGTCCACGCTTTAAACCAAAGTAACGTGCCACTGGGTCACCAGCCTGTATACGCATTAATTGATTTTCTTTTAGTTTATATCTGGTGAGTAATTCCTCCTTCTCGTCTGGTGTGAGTACAATGTGCTCAGGTACCAATTCGTGCTCTGTGATATTAATGAGCAACTCAGATTCTAAAAATTGTTCCAATATGTATTTTGGTGCCATATCCACCAATGATTGTTTAGCTGATGGCGTCATTCCTTGTTGTACAACAATAATAGCTCTGTCAAGAAACAAAACAGAAACTCAGAAATTTTATTATGCTCCAATTATAACAGTACATATTTACTTATTATGACAAATTACCTATGGATTTTCTCTTCTTGCATACGCTGACAGTATGTTTTAATGGTTTTAATGCCAATCTTTGGCTCGTCTGGGAAGAACACGAAAAGCTGATCTGTCGGATCGTCATTATGGGCAACTAAAACTATGAGATCGCTACGAGCTGGCCTTTTTTCACTCGGTTTGTCACCGAATTGTTCCTTGAATTGCTCCAAAGTTTGATCCAGTTCATCTTGGGTAACCAAGTAACCTCGATCGTGACACAGTTGCATTACTGTTTTCCTTATTCGCCACAATTTGTACGTTTCAGCTTCGTCATCCATTTCTCGAGAAAAATTAGAATTGACTCTGAAAAAAAGTTATCTAACTTCCTGATACTTCTCTTTCCGTCCGTTTCTTAGTCTTTCGTCTAATTAAGCCTCTAAACTAATCCTCAGCGTGTTTCTTTTTGTACATATAACCTCACTTTTCTCTACAACGTACACAACTGTAAATGAGCGACGTGCGTATGATGCATGTCTTTGTCACAAAACTTGAAATATTTGTGATATTATAAATTGTAGTTGTACATATAAAATTAATATACGAAATATAGATTCTACGTAATTGTTGAATTTTCCTTGTGTTAAATTTATTAATTAATATTTTGTTAAAAGTTTGTAAATTAATTTGACGTAATATAAATCCGGTGTCAGTTCATTGGATCCCATTAAACAATGGGACATATACCTACTTATAATAATTGTTAATAACTAGTCAATTGTTAATAAAAATTCATATTCAAAATTGTATATTAGTAACTCGCATTTAAAATCGATTTTTTTTTTTATCCAAATTTGAAATTTAGTTCGAATTAATTAAAATCACAGAAGTTTGTGAATTATTAGGTTAAAAATTAATGAACTATTCTTTGAAATTCAATAAAATGGCGAAAATAAATAGTACAGTTGGTTCTAAGAATTTTGAGTATTTGATTTAAACCAGAGATTTTTACTCTTTATTCCAAGTTAACATTTCGTGCGAAATGCGCGCGCATTGGATTTAAATTAGTTAAAGATCACAGCGCCAACGGTGAGATACGGAACACACTTTCTCGGATTCCCGCACATATCGATATTTCTCACGATCGATGTTTAAACGAGAAGAATGGCGGAAGGAAGCACACTTCGTCCGTAAAGAAGAAAGTATTATTCATATTATCCAGAAAAGTCGTCCAGGAAGAAGTGTCTGCCAGAAGTTCTCAAGTAAAAATATAAATCAATAGTTATTAGATTTGTGTTTGTGTTTTGAATTTTTAAGATTTTTGCATTTTTGGGTTCAACTTAAGGTAAGATTTAATCAACTAATTATTACATATAGTATTCAACAATTAAAGAAACAATGGCATATAAACGTTTAAACAGAACATACTGTGCTAAAAGTTATTTATAATTTTATACCAAAATTTAATTTTAATTCTAACCAGTACAAATATTGTGACATTGCAATATGACTAGCTTTTTATTACATATTCATAATGCTTTTGCTTTTATTGTAACATTTTCTACTCATTTGTTGATTCCTTAACCTTGTATTGCGTAATTCTTAACAATTGTAATACTAAATTCAACAGTAATTTATTAAGGACATACGTATTTAATGGCCTAAGTAATAGTTCTGCTGCGTAATACTATTAAAATTTCAATTTAAAGTATTAACAATTTTTTATGGAGTGTGAATATTTTCGTTCTTTTTTATGAATTTCTCATGAATTTTGGGTATGTGATTTCAACCAGAGTTTTTTATTTTTCATTTCATTTCGTGCGATTACAGCGCCATTACACGGTGAAATACGGAACACACTTCCTATGATTTTCGATATGTAATCGATATTTCTCATGATCGATTTTTAACTGGAAAGTGGCGGTTAAAATGGCGGAACGAAGCACACCGCATCTGTAAAGAAGGAAATATTACCTAGAGAAATTATCCAGAAAAAAGTATTATCCAGAGGTTCTCAGAGGTTCAGGTAAAAATTCAAATCAATAGCTATTAGATTTGTGTTTGTGATTTGTATTCTTAAGATAGAATGTGCATTTTTGACTCCCACTCAAGGTAAGGTTTAATCAAAAATTATAACATATTTCGAACAATTAAAGAAATAACAGATTTAAATAGATTATACTTATGTTACAAGTTATTTATAATTTCAACTCTAACTTGTACAAATATTGTAATCTTGTCATTGTTATATATATATATATATTTTTTTTTTTATTATATGTCTTTATACACACACTTATTTGTTGATTCTTTAATTTCATATTGCGTAATTCTTAACAATTCTAATACTAAATTCAACAATAATTTATTAAGAATATACGCATTTAATAGTTAAACTAATAATTCCACTGCGTAATATAATAAAATTTTTCACTTCTCAGACAAACTAAGGCGTGAAAGGTCTTGAACCTCGAAACTCAAAACATCAACACAAACCCAATGTTTACTCTCGTGCCTGTTCGCACGAAAATCACCTCGACCCCTACTACTTCCTTAACTGCGTGACGAGATATGTCGCGAGGAGTCACTCATCTGTAGAATTTCGTGACAACAACACGTGTTACGTCGCATTAGGTTCTTTTAGGTAACTTTTTCTAATCTATCGGTGGCGTCCCTTCGATAGCTTCTTCAACACTCTTTTCCATTTGTACCTTAATAATAGTATCGTTTAATTAGTACGTGTATTTAACGATTCAGCGAGCATTACAATAACAAAATCGTGTAGTGCTTTGAAACTTTTTCCTGCCGATTTTTCTTCAGTCGACAATGTCATTCGTATGTTGTCTTGTACATTTGTTCAGTAGAATTTGAGATTGATTATCGTTTCATTTTTACACATTTGTCTTCATTTGACACATTTGTTCTAACTTTTGATTTCTTCCGCAGGTTTATTTCTTGATGCCAAAGATTGGATAGAACACACATGACGCTAATATTAATGAACAATCTGATATATTTTCACGGAAATTTGGTAACATTTTATTTATTTATTTTGGGTAACATTTGATATATAATTTATATATATTTGAGATACAATTCGCAATATGTAATTTCGTAATTATTTGAAATATAAAGATGAAAATATACCAGTTCTTCCCAAACGATTCAAAGCAAGATTTCACACACGTTTTTTGTAATATTATTTCTTAAGCATATTTAGCTATGAAATTTTGACTTAACGACGTGATATATATTATTAATGTGCATACTTTCTGTTCTAATAACGAACATTCAGAATACAATTTCTGCAAATAGTTGTCTTTCATTTACAGTATTCGGTATTGAGAGATATTTTATAATTTATAATATCTTTAATATATATTCAAGTTTTTTTATCATCATTTTTTATAATTCTAAATATAGCAGTATTTTCTAAATGAACGTACTCCCCTCCCCCTAATTAGCTTTAATTTCAGAATTACTAATCAGCTTTATTTTCAGAAAACTTTTGTGACCGCGCGCAATGCGGTCGATAGAGTCAGTGTGTTGTTGCAAAGTATTTTTATACTTTTCTGAACAAAATGGCTCTTGTTAAATTTAATCATTAATTCATTTGAATTGTAACTTGCGAAGTTAGAGAGTCAGTGAGTACGCCGATTGTTGCTTAAACACGCGCGTTGATAGTCTTTTGTTTTTCTTTTTTTATATTTTTTCTTATTCGTTTTCGGTATGTATTAGAGTGCTCAGTGCTCAAGAGGATAAGGCCTCTCCGGGAAATCAAGACCGTAAGTAGTTTTATATATTGTATCTAAATTTATTTAATTTCTCAAATTTGACAGTAAAGTTACATATGATGTTTTGTGTTTTGTTACAGACGCTCCACATCAGCATTAATTTTTTGTGGGAATATCCAACGGTGGCTTTAAAGCTAAGAATGTAAGAATCTTTCATTATCTCCAACTTAAGATTTTGCTTTGCTTTTAAATACATATTCTGATGTTTAATGTTTTGTTGCAGATCTAGTACAGTCCTCACTTCCCCTAACCCTCCAAAAATCTTATAATGCTTCAAAAGCTAAGAATGTAAGTACTTTAGCATATTATAGTTGAATCAATTCTATTCTCTATAGTTCTCTTTCTATTAAATTAAAGTTGAATGTACAATTACAACTATAAAATGAAAACACTTCAAATTGTTAGTCCCAATTTTTATCATTATTAAAATTTAAATTTTCTCAAATAGCATTGTGTCTTTAGAAATAAAGTGAACATAAAGTTTTGTAATTTTTTAAGAAATTATTCACTTCCACCATGGGCTTCTCAGTGGTATCTACTTGATGAGGATCTTCACGATAACTTTTCCTGGTCCAGTGCAGCATCGATGACAACGTTCTTCACGCCTATCACGTGAGTCGCATGCATTTATGTTCCCTCCGGTCACTCAATCATGTCGTAGGGCGAAAGATCCGAATCGACACGGGTGACTGGTTGTATACGTAGAATTTTTGATGAGCATAGTGACCGCGGGTATATTTTTTGTACCCGTGAGTAGTAACACTTTTTTCAAGGTTTTTATGTCTTAGATCAGGATAGGGCTTCTTGCACATCGCGATTTTAACAATTAAACTTGTAGCAACTGCTTACAAAATCAAAATATATCTTCAATATAAATGTTTGCAAAAGTAAAATATATGAATGTCCATATGAATAGATAAATTACAAATACTTGTGAATAATTATTGTTAAAATGATTTCGTTTGAGCATTTCGTAGTAGAGAAGACGGATACCCTCCGACTTCGTTGCTATGAAAGATGCAGTTGTTACTTATTGATATTGATGATATTTTGTTATAATAATTAATAATCAATAATTTTAAATTTCACCTGTTTACCATATTTACAATGGTATGTACTGTATTTTATAAATACAATTATAGTTATGAACTTCTGTAAAATAATAGATTAGAATTTTCTCCGCAAGAAAATGTATGAAATTTCATGTGCAAGAAGATAGTTCGCGACAGGTAGATTTTCGAATCAAAGCAACAAGTTTGATCGCTGCTTTAGCAAATTTTTCGAAAAATGTGCTTTGACGAAGAAATCGCCTGAGATTATTTCTATTAATATTCATATTTGAAATCAATTGATTTTTGATTGTTTGAGTCAATTCTTAAATTGTTCATTGTCTTTATCATCTTGCAATTTTAATAATTTCCGAAAGAGTAAAGTCATCAGAGCTTGAAATAAAATAATGCAATAGTCCGTTAGATACAAATTACATGAATTAATCATTTGTTTTTAGTTCAGGATTTTCAGGTTTAACCCCTTCCGTGTTCATTGTCAGGATCTCACTCACGTGCCCAGGTGCTACTTGGGTGGGTGAAAGACGTTGGGCACGATGACCATGGTTTGTAATTTTATAAAAAAAAATTTCTCAGCGACTGACAGTGTGTTAGCGTATCGTGCACGACGTATTTTCCACATGTGTGTGTATGTGTGTTTGTGGTTAGGAGTGTGGAATTGCGTCGTTTCTATTGTTATATTCGTTATAAGTTGATTAATATTTAAGATATTAATTTATTATAATAATAAAATATTAATCTTTAATTAAACGTATAAACATATAAGTCTATCATAATAATACCTACTAAATACAAAATACTATAATTTGTCAATTATAATAATGATTTCAAGTCAATTTGCACTTGTGATTCCTATACATCAGTGACGGCGAACCTTTTTGAGAAGTAGGTCAAATTTTATTTATTATTTTTTTTGGTACTAGCTCGTGGGTCACTAAGTCAGTGGCGTCACTTGAAAAGGGGGAGGGGAGGATGGTTAAAAACTACTTTCTTTTGGTTCTCACTTTTATGATGCTCTAAAAAGTTTACGTTTCCTTTTTGTTTTACAACTTTTTTACTTTTGCAAGTGAAGAGCAAAAAATAAATGTCGACGTCGAAAAATTGATATAAAAGGGATGACATCGTGCCCAGTCACCCCTGCACTATACATTAGATATGTATATACTTCATTCCTTAATATTTTTTATTGTCTGTTCTCTCTTTTATTATATAAAAAATATATAATCGTAAGCGCTATATAAAATTTCTTGGACACAAGTAACTCATATAACATTTAAGACTTAAAATACCTGTACGTATACATAACCAAGTCGTAAATCCGCCGTGAAACACAATTATGCATTTATTTCTCACTTTTGTGCTCTAACCGAACACTTGTAATTTTCTTGACATTTTTTTGAAAAGAGGGGTTCGAAAAATAATTAAAATTCTTTTATATATGTGATGATAAGTTTATAAAAATCGACGCGTGGGTCATTTCAAAAAGTCTGCGTGAGTCAGTGTCTGACTGACCTGCGGGTCATAGGTTCGCCATGGTTGATATAGATTGTTCTATTGTCGTTTATTTGTGATATACAGGGTGGATCAAAAGATCTTTTCCTACCAAAGTAAATCTAATTTCTTTTATATACTATGTTTACTTATATATATTATACTATATATATTTATATTATATTATACTGTGTATATTTATTTATTTACTATGTATACTATATATACTAGGAATATAATACTATATTTATACAGTAATAGTAATTTATATACTAATATAATAATACTATTTTTATATACTATACTATATTTATAATACTAGTAATGTAGTAAATATATATGTATAGTAAATATAGTATTTATAATACTAGTAATATACTAAATACATATACAGTAAATATAGTATTTATAATACTAGTAATGTAGGAAATATATATATAGTAAATATAGTATTTATAATACTAGTAATGTAGTAAATATATATGTATAGTAAATATAGTATTTATAATACTAGTAATATAGTAAATATATATATAGTAAATATAGTATTTATAATACTAGTAATATACTAAATACATATACAGTAAATATAGTATTTATATATTATATTATACTATATATATTTAATAAAATTAGTTTTTTCTTGTATTTTGATGTTTTATTAAAAAAAAAAAAGAGAGAAAATTGGTGGGAAGAAACTTTCAGCCTATATTCATAGAAATCGTTTAAGCTCTAACCGAATACTTGTAATTTTCTTGACATTTTTTGAAAAGAGAGGTTCGAAAAATAATTAAAATTCTTTTATATATGTGATGATAAGTTTATAAAAATCAACGCGTCATTTCAAAAAGCCTGCGTGGGTCATAGGTTCGCCATCATTGCTATACATCATTATACCTACCTTTTTTTCAGTTATTAATATCCCATGTATAGCCGTAAATGTAAACTAGCCACTGTCAGTCGATTTCAGGAAAAAATGGTACGTAAATCAGAGTGTGAATGTTGTGCGTTAAGCTCGGGTGTCGGAGACGTCTCGGGGCGTCCTCTCTAGCTTAGGTCTGCGCCCGAGTGGTATGTGTGAGAATCGTGGAACGAGTGTGTTGGCGTGCCTGTCTTTTGCCATTTTTTTTAAATATAGGGCGAACTGCATAGGATAGGTAGCATACTTTCTGGTGTGAATGTGTTTAATTATAAGTAGGTAGGGCCGGGCAGGTTGGCACAGTCTCTGGTCGCGTGTCCCCTTCTCGCCTGTCCAACCTGTTTCAGGAAATCTAATTTGAAAAATCGACAGTGAAATTGGTACAAATTGAGCATGCCATTTGTTTCTGAGTTTTACTCTTCGATTTTTCGAATTTAGTGTCGCGGTCGTGGTCGCGGGATAGGTCGCGAGCTGGTCCCGAAACGAACGTTCATCTAGGTATTGCTCGAGCACGCACGTGCGAACGGACAACGATCACAATGATCGATGGTCGTCCATGTGTGATTGAAATCAGCTTCCGCGATTTATCTAAGTTATTTTTTGGTTTCGCGATTAGAAGGACTCGAGCCTAGGTTTAAGTTTCAGCGGGCATCGCGCCCGAAGAAAAGAAGAGGCCCGGCAAACTGCCATAGAAGAGGGCTGCAACAAATGGCTTCTCACCCTCTCGATCGTTCAAATGATTCCAGAGCGTGGGAGGTCATTCTCGTTACTACTTTGTCACTATGCTCTTTTTAGTATATTTGTAGTTGTACTTTTTCTTTTTTTCTTCTTTCTCTCTTCTCCGTCATCGTTCGACGATTTTGGGCAAATCGCGGTTTTGAATTGGAGTTGCGAGTCGTGATACAATTGCGATTGTCCCTTTACAATTTTGATTATGAATTTTTATAGTCGTCTTGCAATGTGCGTGTGATTGCACGCAGTGAAATTTATCTTGCTCCCTGTCGTGTTAAATTAAATTAAATAGATCATTGTTTTTGGTTAATTTTAGAGCGTTCGAGTGTCTGAAGTACAGTTTCGTATTAATTTTCGTAATAATTTTCATCGAATATTAGATTTTAGTGTTAGCGTTGCGACGTTGTTTCACCGCGATTTCCGATTCAGCGTCGCGTTCACAAAATGCCCAAATTCTTTTACTGGACTCGTTGTCCCTGATCCTGGATCACCCGATTCAGCTACAAGAGCTGCATCTGGATTATTGTTTGCTAATTGCGTCAGTGTATAGTGCAATTATGAATTACATAACAAATACTGTGATCTAATTGTCTGTTAATCGCAGTTTAATTTTTTGGCAATTGAAAGATTTTACCAATCACTTAGGAGAGGTCATTGACTTCTAAAATTACAAATTCGACTCTTTCGCGATCAATTTCATCCAGAAAAATATTTCTAGAAAAATGTGCATACACACAAATGTATCTACTTGAAATATTGCGAAAATTTTCTCACGATTGCAAAAATTTCTATTAATATATTTTTACGAATATATTTAATTTATATGTTAATATACTTTTATATTAATATATTAATATGTTAATATGTTAATATACTTTTATATTAATATATTAATATGTTAATAAACTTTTATATTAATATATTAATAAGTTAATATGTTAATAAACTTTTATATTAATATATTAATATATTAATATGTTAATATGTTAATATGTTAATATGTTAATATGTTAATATGTTAATATGTTAATATGTTAATATGTTAATAAACTTTTATATTAATATATTAATATGTTAATATGTTAATAAACTTTTATATTAATATATTAATATGTTAATATGTTAATAAACTTTTATATTAATATATTAATATGTTAATATGTTAATAAACTTTTATATTAATATATTAATATGTTAATATGTTAATAAACTTTTATATTAATATATTAATATGTTAATACACTTTTATATTAATATATTAATATGTTAATATGTTAATACACTTTTATATTAATATATTAATATGTTACTATTTTAATATACTTTTATATTTATAAAACTGTCGCCAGAGTTCAGTGATGCGAGCAAACGATAGCTATTTTTGCGCTTACAGT